AATAAATTAGACTAACTTAAAATCTTATATAATAGCTATATTATTAATATTAATTAATAAAGTAAGCTAATAATCTGAAGATAATTAATAAGCAAGAAAAAAAATAAGATATACTAAGTATATATACTTAATACTTAAGTTAAGTATAAATAAATAAAAACTAGACTAAATATATACTCAAACTTGAATTATATATTAAATATAAATACTTCTAGAGTATATATAAAGTATATATATAAAGAATATATAAGAATATTTATTTATCTATATTTATAATTTAATTAATTATAAGAATAAGAACTAGTAATATAAGATCTTAGTATAATTATTTTATAACTATTTCTTAAAATAGATTAGAAGTAAGTAACTAGGTTATATAATTATTTTATAATTTATATAAGAAGTAAATAATTAAATTATATAATTTTTCTATTTCTTTTTATACAAGAATCCTGATTCTTTATTAACTAATTAGTGTTGGGCTTCTGCCTGGCTATGCCACCTTCATGAGATATTAACCCTGTTAGGTTTCTGTAATAATATAATAATTATTACTTTTATTATCTTATTTATATAATAAATTCTTAAATAAATTATATAAACTTTTATTATATATCCTAGTATTACTACTGGTAACAATATTAAATTAAAAGATTAAGTAATAAAGAAGAATAAGATATATTAAAATATGTATATAAATCATCAAATTAGATAAATAAAAGAATAATAATCAAAAATAAGAAATAAAAAATAAACTGCATTATTATATTTATATATAATTTATTATTCTAGAATCTTCACTTCTCTACTATATAAAAGTAAGTAGAAATATATAGAATATTCTGAGACAAACAAAATAACATCATAAATAAACAGTTTTAATCCTTTTCCATGGATAATGAGGGATTATTCCAACAGATCCTTTTAAGGTCTAGACAGGATAACAAAGAGAACTGCTAGCACTACTATTATACTACCAGTTATAAATTCATTCTCTACGATAATAAAATATAATGTTTGGTGGATATTCTTGTTTTTACTAGAATAGGCAAGCTAGGACAGGATAATAAGAATTACCACTACTAATACCTATTGACCTGCAAGTGGTCACGTTTACATATTGAAACTATGAGGACTCCACGAAAATAATTGGGTGTCGTGTATCAGGGACGTATGCATCCCGAGGATAATTTGTATTCCCTTATTCCACCCTTACAAGGAAGTATAAATAAGCGAATTTCTTCATCTCCTGTATGTCCTCGACCGCCACGACTTTCTCGTCATTGAACATAACCCAAGTAGGCTGATCCTGCCCTGGGAGGGGTTTGCGCACAAAAGCAACGTAATGCCTGCTTTACGTTAGCCGAACGTTTACGGGTTAAAGACACATATGAGGAACGCATACCCGGCGTGCACCGAAGAGCCTTTGTGACAAATAATTGACCGGAGTTGATATCTTGCCGGAGTAGTAGAAAAGCCTTTGAGGGGCCTGTGACTGCTGGGCTGATGCGTATCGGATTCATGATTCGCAGAACCGACCTCAGTCATTTCTTCCGGATGGCTGAACACCCAGTCAATAGCTCTATTGATATCACCGCTTGTAGCAGCTAACGCTTTCTTAGCATGTTGCTCATTGATGCCCATTTCACCCAGTTGCAAGACCTTTGCTGAGTCTTGCTGCGGCTCTTCACCTTGGGTCGCAGGTGGATCATCAATGTCAGCGTCGTCCATATGAGCAAAAATCCAATTCATTGCAGCTTCGACATCCGAATTTCCAGTTGCTTGAAGTGCCTTCACACATCTTGGTTGCGGAAATCCCATGGTGAGAAGCTGACATAGGACTTCCTCATCAGGAGCAAAAATCGATTCAGTGTTCTCCACATCTGGGAGTAACTCTTCGTCTTCCTTCTGGCCGGAGGAAAGATAACCACCTAGATCTAACGGATCGTCTCCAACTTCCACAGGAATATCTAACTTCGTAGGCACCCAGTTGATCAATTCAAAGCGCCTCGCATTGACAACCAAATTCTGAGGCAGTGTTTTGAATGACGAACGCTTGGAGAATCCCGACTTGCTAGAGCATGAGGGACAGCTGAGTTCAACCACTTCATCGGCAGTGGAGGCATCTAAACATTCATTGAATGTCACAGTCTGGAACTGATCGCTTGTTTCGTGATCACTTTCTGTAGAGAAGCGGCGCACAGGAACAGGGATGGAAAGGTTGTCCTGTTCATCAACTCTATATCGAACTTTGCTGCAATTCAAGCACTGGAGTCGTTGTTCGACGGCGAAACTGAAGGATTCAACAGGGTTATCCAGTCCTTCAAGAAACCTGCCATGGTTTACCAGCTTAAAGAGGTGCAGGAGAAATTCAAATGCGTCTTGCTGCCTCATTGTGGAAAACTCTTCATGCCCACGACCAACGAGGTGCTTGAACATCGATGGAACCAAGCCTTTTTGATTGGGAGTCTCTGGAGAGTCCGCAGCAACGATGGCGTCTGGATCGGGTCGGGAATAACGACCGGAAAGGATGCCATCTGCGAGTTTTCGCAACTGACTCTCCAGATCTTCCGCCGGATGTTCAGAAAAAGGCGGCTCCTGGGTGGGATGGTAATACCTGTTCTGGAATTGGGGAAGATCAAATAGACATTGAATCACGCTTGAAAGGTAACAGCTGTTTCCCAGGTTCCTGAGACCTGTCAAACCAGGGCCAAAAATCGGGGTGAGCTCTTGCCCATCTTCAGACGTCATTGTAAACTGCCATTTCATATTTTGTTCAATTTGCATTTCCGTCAGGCTTTTTTCTGTTTTCTCGCGGCCTGCCAGATTTATGCCCCAATGAGCAAGATGGTCGGCGAGGTTAGGGTCGACTCTCTCTTCATTGCATTTATAGCAGAAGACATCAGCGGTGCCATCTGCGGTTATGGAGCCAAGCTTGACAGCAACTGCGTGCGAAGTTAATTCGGAATGGGTAAGTGCGTGAGAATTTCCTCCCACACCACCAAACTGACTGCGCCCGCAGCCAAGATTGCCACACTCTAAACAAAGCCACAGGTTCTCCTTGAGATCACATAACGAGCAACCATTGAGGTCTAGATATTTCTGTGAGACACTGGTTAAATATTAAAAGAACCTGGGGTCGTACCTTTTGACCTAATTTCGCGAGCTTCTTCCTGACCTAAGCACAGTGTGTGCTCACACGGGACAAATTCTTGCTCCCAAGCCTTGACCTCCTCTTTCCTCGAGTATGTGATTGCATTCAGGACACCGTCAACCACAGCCGGAAGTTTGCCACTAGAAACATCAACATTATCCTGACAACATTTGTAACACACAACGCGCGTGTTTGTGTCATAGTGATCATCTTCTGTTTCTGCAACTATTGCAAGTTTTGATATTTTTTGTGGGGGTTCATCCCTCTAGAATAAGAGCTGGTCAGTCACTGGGAACATGAGATGGTATTGACTTTTCAGACGTACTCGGACTGGTTTCCGAGACCTCTTGATGTTGAGAGCCAAAGGATGGCCAAAGCGTTGAAAATGAAGAAGGGCATGGTCCCTGTCTCCCGTACAGCCACCATTGAAGCAAGTTAAACAAACGTTGAGCCCGGAATCATCGTCCTAGATTTAGTTAGGTATGACAGCTTCTGTTCAGCCGGGGTGCCCATACAATAGAATCGAAGCACTGGGTGCAATCTTCCCTGTAGACTGCTTGGGATGCAGATGGCTGCTTTAAATCTGCACAGAGATGATCAGATCGACGTCGTACTACTCGAGAGAATGGACTACCCTACCATCAGAATTAACATGCAAGCAAGCCATCTTCAATGAGGCAGCACGTTCTGTATTTGCTGAAGAATTTTGCCAAAGTAGTAGTAGTATTTAGCTCATATAACATAGACAACAGTCGCGCGAACTGGGTATATCTGTCCGATGATACTTTTGGTTACGGCTGGCAGCTTTGTAATGTCGGCAATGCTGGGAATGGCAATGCTCTAATTAAAGCAAGATTTAACTTCGTGATTAGACAATAATTGAAGAAGCATGTCGGGTGGGGTGAAACCTAAGGAACATATACTACGTAAGGTAGTACGGTGCTTACCTACATTGTACCAAGATACTGTCGCGGGGCAGGGCCCAGCACCATCCACCTAGTTCGACCGAGTGAAAGGTTTGCCGCTGATAAGACCCTCTTTGGCACATCGATTACTCATCAGACTTGACACAACTGCCTACTAGGCAGGCAGTTGCCGCAATCAGGTAGTTATACGCCAAGAACGGCAAAGTAGTACGATTATGGAAGTCTTCGAGTGTCAGCCACTAAGAGGCAGTACTACCTAGGCAGTAAGTACCATAAGGGACCTCAGGTATTCAAGGAGTTTATCTATCTATTGTCAGGCATAGTCCATACTCGAAAATGCTTAACAGTCGTCTCGTCAATCTTGTGCATATTTCAACAATAGTATTTATACTTGGAGAAAAGTATCGCTGTTGATTCATGAACATAGAGAAATATCTACACTGTAGTGATTATTGAAGAGAACTCTATGGAATACCTTTTCGATACGTTGTACTTCAACTTCCTTTATGCTTAATTTTTCAAGTTGGGGGATTCGGCTTTGATTTACAAGCTCTGTCGATGTGCCTTAGGCATCGAATTTCATGTCTTGGTCGGCCTATGTAGTTCTTCTCAGTCTTCTAGTCTACGGGAAGGCATTGTAAATCTTGGTGAGTATTGTGAAGCTTTCTAGAAGGGGTAAAGTGGATGCAAGGAATAAGATAGGCTAGTAGAAATAATAGAAATAATAAAATTGATAACTCTGATGATAAAACCGCCCGAAAGTAGGGATAGTGATAATTCTGACTTAACTAAAAACAAATGGTAGAGATAGTTAGTGGTAAGGGGAGCAAGGGTCTGCCACCCGTGGGGCCAATTGACCGTCCCTCTTCACCACCCTCCCGATCTGCCGCCACAGTATTAATACATATTCCAGACCTGCCATAATACACAATGATCCACTTAATTCACTAAGAACCAAGTCCCCACTAGCCCTAAGAGGTTATCGTAAAGGTGCAACTCAGTAAAATCATTCTGGAATATAGCATGGACAAGCTTGGTTTCCGTGCTAACTACTACCTTGTCAGCGACAGAAAACGTCATATACAAAGAGCAATGCCTTACCTTGAGTAGGTAGAGTTGTCGCGCAATTAATGATGATCCAGTCACAAATCATACCTTCTTGTATCCAGGAATAGTAATTTCCTCCCTGCCTGAACCGTGTGATGTGTTCATTAATCTTGCTGTGTTCTCTTAAAAGTTCGATCGCCCATTTCTTCTCTTGTATCAAGAAATCTACCCTGCCGTCGCGATTTCTAGACCATTCAGAGGACATTGGCACACGTCGACCAACTAGTTCAGTGAAAACCCGGTAAAATTCATCCTGGTACTGGGATTCTATTGGTCTGTATGTTGCCCCAGTTGATAATTTTCTGCCCTCTGAAGAACACCTGAGAGCGATTGTCGAAAATCGACGTAAGACATCGAGACACAACCCATATACCGTATCGAACCGCTCAGGCAAGGGTTGCGGATCAAAGCCGATCAAAAATTCCACCCATCTAACTTTGATTAGAATGAGTCAAAGATGGGAGATGGACGGGGAAATCAAAAGATGACTTGCTTCTCATGTAACCTGGATGGCAAAACGTAAATTTCTGGAACCCTCAGATTACCGGTAGCTACCTTATGGATCCAACCCTTTGTGTAACATTGCAGTGTTGCTGAGTTCGAATTCCACGGCAAGTCGCCATTTTCCAAGATGGTCAGAAGAACGTCGGCACATTCCCGTGTTAACTCGACGCCCTGGGGGAATGAGCGGTAAACAGGGGTGTACGCAAGATGTCTGAAAACATTGTCCTCTGATTTCAAGCCATCGATAAGATGCGACTTGGTTATTGCATTTATTTGTCGATGCTTGACATTAGAGCGGTAAATCTAAGTAAAAGTTAGTTGAACCAGCTGGTCTAGAAAGAATGGATTTGCTTTAAAATCCAGGACCTGAATAACTTACGTGAAAGAAATATTCCATCATAGACTCTAATGCACCGGGGTGCCCATTCGTGAAAGAGAAAAGATACTCGATGGCATCTGTTTGAAGTTTGATTGGCGGTTCTTTTTTGGAGCCAATTCTAGATGTGGCATCGTAGAATTCCGTCTTCGAGAAAAACAGACCAAAATCAGGCGCTGCGGCGTTCGTCTGGGGGGTCAATGTTACCCGTTGCGCGGGGTTGAGGATAGCAGGTGTAAATTCACAAGTGGTGGTCTCCACCCCGGTGGAAGGACTCCCATAAGAGCAGAAAAGACAGAACATGATTTCCTCCCCTTTACCATAGCATCGAGGTTTGAGGATTTCATTCCACAAAATGGAATCATTGTAGGATGTCTGACCCTCATCAATGATGAGGACAGCCTGGGAAAGGATATCTTTGTCCACCGGACAAGGGAATTTACTTCGAAGCATGGTCTCCAGTTTGTCCCATGGATCCGGAGGGCTTTCGTAGAGTGTATCAAGATCGCGCCATGTCCCCATGAAATACACATTCCGTCCTTGACCCGAAAGGTGATCTTTGAGTAACTGTGCTAGGGTTGTCTTGCCACTCGCCGGTGTGCCACGGACATGAACAACCTTTCTAGACAGGATAAGATCAGCGAGTTGCTGAACTGTCCCCTCGCGAGGACATATTGAGAGATCATCTGTGACTATTTACCCCGACATTGTTAGCTAAGAAAGGATAATAGTCAAAATAAGATCAAACCTTTGCGTGACTTGAGAGGACGTGGCATAATTTTATCAGTTTCTCCATCCGCGTGCTTTGATAGGGGATGATGACAATTCAGGCAGTCGTCACTCAAACGATTTTCAGCTGCCAAAATGTAAAGGCCCCGACTGCAGTCACAAGAGCCATTTTGTTCGGTTTCAAATTGACACCGTCCAGAAGCCATGATGCGTGGATAGGATGTGTTTTTCAACTTTCTGAAATGGTGTGCATGCTTGGAGCGAGGGTCAGGATGGCGATAGTCTGTCATGATAACTCCCTTGTTATTGAAGCGAAAAGTGAGAAAATTGAACATGAATGTTTAGGGAAAGTGCTAGCCTGTCATGAAGGTCGAAAAGCTAAAAGCCCGGCTTATATAGGCTTTGCGAATTCATCCAGCCAATACTTGCTCGCCGTAGTAATCAATCTAGTGATTATTGATCAATGATCATATGATCAATTACTTCACTCTACTTTTAGCTTTTTGAGTAACAATGACAGATCAGCCAACCAGACAACGCCACCCCAGCCCTGTATTGCCTACCAAATGGTCTATTTAGCTATCTAGATAGACAGCTAGAAAACTTGCTGCTGAGAAGGTTGTAGTAATAGATTCTTCATTATCCTGTGATTCCTGTAGTAGTATTATAGTAGTAGTGTTAATATATAGGGGGTCAAACTTATTAGTATCTTAAGACTGTAAAGAAGTTCGTGAAGCCATGAGTAGTAAGATTAATGAAGTAAGTGAAAAGCACGTGATCAGGCGGGACGCGTTTTGCATGGAAATTAGTAGGTGGAACTGTCAGTGTAGCAACGCGTCCCCGGGTCACCCACGATCACCGTGCACGAAAATACTTATCATTATTCACCACTCAACTGTCTACTTATCCAGTAGCACTGTTCGTCTGATAGGTTTTGTGTATCTCTTGTCGCCCCAGACTATATTATAGGAAGAATTTAACGTTCTCTTGAGTTGTTCTATGGAAGCATGACGTCCGAAGCCGGTTCTCATATCAGCGTTGGCGCACTCAGGTGAGCAAACTCTACCCGATATCAACGAACTTAGCTCACAGTATCAAAGCGCTATCTTTGATGAATCGAAATCCCAAGTTCGCGAGCCAATTGTACAGTGTGTCCAGGTCAAGCCACTGCCTCCTCAACAAAACAACCAAGAGCGTTATCGAGCTGTCTTCAGTGACATTTCAAACTATGTCCAAACCATGCTTGCAACCCGTAAGTTATATATACTTGAACCAGTTAAGATGTCGTGTTAAGTACAATATCAGAAGCGAATGCCTTCGTTACAAGCGGTCAACTTAGGAGAGGGTGTTTTGTAAAACTGAAGTCCTTCCAGGCGAATTCAGTGAAAGGCAAAAAGTCTGTTCCTTGATATCACGTTTGGAGCCTCATTAACGTTTATATAGAATTCTCATCGTCCTGGATCTTGAAGTGCTGCAGGAACTGGGCGAGGCAGAAAAGATTGGCGAGCCCAAGCCGTTAGAAAACAGAGTGGAAGAGGACGAGAAAGTACAACCTACAACCATATCCAGCAATGGGTTTTATGGCTCGAAAATGCCACAGACGAACCCGAGCAGTCGAGTACAAGCACGGCCTGGTGCAGCTTCAATGCACGCTACTATGTATCCCATCGAAGCCATCTCTCCATACTGCCACAAATGGACGATCAAAGCACGATGTACGAGCAAATCGAACATCAAAACGTGGCATAACAGAAATGGCGAAGGAAAGCTTTTCAGCGTCAATTTGCTGGACGATAGTGGCGAGATACGTGCGACAGGGTTTAACGACCAGTGCGAGATGCTTTATGACGTTTTCCAAGAAGGCGGTGTCTACTACATATCCAGTCCGTGCCGAGTCCAAATTGCGAAAAAGCAGTTTACAAATTTGAATAATGACTACGAACTTACGTTCGAGAGAGATACGATTGTTGAAAAGGTTGGCATGAACACCCCCAGCCTTCCACTAATTAATGCACAATTTTGACAAATAATAGGCAGAAGACCAAAGCGATGTACCGCAAGTCAGATTCAACTTTACCTCCATAGGTGATCTTCAGTCTGTTGAAAAGGACACCACCATTGATGTCATAGGGATCTTGAAAGAGGCTGGGGAGTCTTCCCAGATCGTCTCGAAAACGACGAGCAAGCCTTACAACAAGCGTGAACTTACGCTGGTTGACAACACAGGTTATTCGGTTCGCCTGACAATATGGGGCGCCACCGCGGTGGACTTTACCGTGGTGCCAGAGTCCATCGTGGCTTTCAAGGGAGTCAAAGTTTCGGATTTTGGAGGTAGGAGCCTGAGCTTATTGAGCTCTGGGTCCATGACTGTGGATCCCGACATTGAGGAAGCCCATAAACTCAAGGGCTGGTATGATGCCCAGGGAAGAGATGAAAACTTCATTTCGCACGCATCTGTCTCGGGAGCAACCACATCCAAGTCGAGACTTGATCAGTTCAAAACCGTTGCCCAGGTTAGGGAAGAGCAGCTCGGGATGTCAGATGACGCCGTGTACTTCTCATTGAAGGCAACTGTCATCTACATAAAGCGGGAAACCATAAGCTACCCTGCTTGTCTTACAGATGGATGCAACAAAAAGGTTACAGAATTAGACCCTGGTCATTGGCGATGTGAACGCTGTGACAAGACTCACCCAAGGCCCCAGTATCGTTACATGATGCTCATCAATGCTAGCGATCATACCGGTCAACTTTGGCTAAGTTGTTTTGATGAAGTTGGCAGGTTGATGATGGGCATCTCGGCAGACCAACTAATGGAGTTGCATGAAAACGATGATAAAGCCGAAGGTGCTATTGTCCAAGATGCGAATTGCCGGACTTGGAATTTCAGATGCAGGGCTAGGATAGACAATTTTGGTGACCAGCAACGGTGAGCTCAAACACTTTTTCTGAAAGAATTATGTTTTGCTGATGGTTTTAGTATCCGTTATCAAATTTCCTCAGCCAACCCTATCGACTACTCTGAAGAGGCAGGACGAATCTCTGATCTGATTGATTCATACAATATCTCTTGAACATGGAGACCTTGTGCCTGGTGTCTATATGTGTTGCTGCCTACTCTTCGCTTTGCTTATATGTGTTCTTTCTCCCCCCATTGCTATAGGGATGGGCCTTTTGCGGTGGTTTACTGGATGGGTTCAAATGCCTTGTTCTTAATGAAACAATCCGGGGTTTAAACTGTCATTCAGGCCTTGTGTACCTGCTTGCTACATGTCATTGATGTCATCTTCATTGCTTTGACGTCAGGTAAGATAACCTGCTGTAGAAAATTCAATAGGCGTTGTGCAGCTCATGTCGGATTGTAGATTATGGATCTAAATGACAATTCTTCTAGGCCAACTAGCCATAAGTGTCCTCGATGATAGTTTTTTTAATGAAACGAGGGTTGATTAAGGAAATCAACAACCTTTTATATAGTTATGTTTGATCACTTTTTCGGCAAGTTATATAGCAGCGGCCGGTCTCCGTGTCACATGACCAGGACCGATGACGCTTGACTGATGGATGCGGGGTCACCGGGGAGCCATATGGATATTATAAATCATCTTTAGTAGAATACTATAAATTATCTTCAATAGAATGCACAAACACCTCTCATTACCACATAGTCTTGAATTCACGAGTTAATCTAGAGTATCTTTTCTCCAATTGAACATCCGCAAAGATGATGAAAGCTATAAGTAAGTTTACTTCCTTGACATTATCCTCAGCAGCGTTGACTTTCTCTAGGCGTGAGGGGTAACACCGGAAACGCTGATGCTCTGTTTGTCGACAGCATCCCCATTCCAGTGGTAGGAGATGGGCAGGCCTTGGTGAAAGTGAAAGCCTTCGGACTGAACCGAATGGATTTGTTACAACGGGAGGGTAAATACCCAGTGCCACCCCAAGCCCCAACCACCATGGGGGTCGAGTTTTCTGGAGTAATCGAGAAGCTGGGTCAACGCCCAGAAGAAAGCTTTGGGGTCGGGGATGAAGTTTTTGGTTTGGCATATGGTGGTATGTTAGAATCGGAACCAAAGTAAAAGGTTCTAGGCGATTAATGGTACTCATATAGGGGCCTATGCTGAGTACATTGCTGTGTCGACCCACATGTTGATACATAAACCACGTGAGTTGACTTGGGAGGAGGCAGCGGGGATACCTGAGGTAAGTTATCCTCATAGGGTGCTGTTTGAATCCTAATTTTGACGGTGGTCTTTCGTTGTATCTAGGCTTGGATAACCGCTACTCAGGCCTTAGACCTGATTGGGAACTTTGGGCCCGGGAAGTCGGTGCTCTGGCATGCAGGGGCTTCCTCGGTCTCTATAGCTGGCATCCAACTTTCTAAGATTGACAATGCGTCTGCCATATACGTGACAGCGGGCTCACAAGAGAAAATCGATTTCTGCGTGCACCAATTAGGTGCCACTGCCGGGTTCAATTATAAGAGCGAGGATTGGGCATCTGCCATCCTGGCACAAACGAATGGTCGAGGTGTTGATGTCGTTATTGACTTTGTGGGTGCAGCGCATTTCCAAGGCAATTTGGACGTAGCTGCAAAGGACGGGCGCATTGTTCAGTTGGGCCAGATGAGTGGTTCAAAACTCCCTGAAGGTATTGATATAAGTGGAATTCTGAGAAAGAGACTGCGACTTGAAGGCAGTACACTTCGAAGCCGCGAAGAAGACTATCAAAAAGCCTTACGTGATCTGTTGGTTGATCATGCGCTGCCAAAATTCAAAACTAGAGCTTTCAAGGTTTTGATTGAGAAGATTTACCCCTTCGAGCAGATCACTGAAGCCCATAAATTGCTTGAGAGCAACACCACAAAGGGAAAGATTATCTGCACTGTTGGATAGAACACGCGCACGGGGCAGATGAGTCGATTGGCATTTAGGTGATGACAAGTCTCCTGTAAGAAGTGGGTCAGGTCCATTCACGGGATTGTCAATATAAATCTCATCGCATATTTGACAATTAGCTTAAGCCTAGCTAGAGACCAGCTATATAGATTATGGAAGCCAATTCAGATATCCGTTGAACTAGCGGTGTCGTATCTTAATTGAGGTAGGAGTTATCTTACACTTGTACTCGGCCCACACACGGTCTTCAAGTTTTCAGTCTTTGTTACTCCCCAGAAGTTTTCGCCATCCAGCATTCGCGTTTTAGTGCCAAGCAATGGCATTGGTCGGCTGAAAGACCATTCTGGCTGGGGATAAGTGGAGCCATCGACTATATAGGCAAGCGGTGGCAGTCTACGGGACTTAGCGCGGTTGCCCAAAAAAAAAAAAAAAAAAAAAAGGAACAACATATAGAACTATTACACCGGCAGACTAAATTATATTTTTCCAATCTTGATTCTTTCATTACTTTGACAACGGAACGTTAAGGCTCGTCATGGCGAAACGTGATTATAGAGACGAAGGTGTCTCCGAGACCAGACCAAAGAAAAAGTCGAAGTCGAAGAGTGAGAAGCGTGACAAGGAGGAAAATGTGAAAGAGCCGAAGGCCTCAAAATCTTATAGCCAATCTGTCGCTCTTAGCGGTTTACCTCAGGCGGAAATCGACAAATTTCTCTCGGAAAACACGATCAAGACGGTTGATCCATTGTCGCAAACCCCGGATCTTCGCCCAATTCTCTCATTCTCCCACCTGCCATCATGCACCGGCGATTTGTATCAGCCTTTGGAATCCTTCAAGGCACCAACGCCTATCCAGTCGGCAACTTGGCCATTTCTATTCTCTGGCCGTGATATCATTGGGATTGCCGAAACTGGAAGTGGTAAGACGCTTGCTTTTGGTTTGCCATGCATGAAGATGATTTTGGACTCGGCGGAGAAGAAAAAGCAGAAGCCTTATCGACCAGCGGCAGTCGTGATCTCGCCGACACGGGAGCTTGCGATGCAGATCCACGACCAACTTCTGAAGTATGCAGGCTCTGGATCCATTGACATGGCGTGCATCTTTGGTGGGGTGAGGAAAGACGAGCAACGGGCAGCTCTCAAGACCGCATCTGTTGTCGTTGCCACGCCCGGCAGATTGAAGGATCTTCAGAGCGACGGCTCATTGGACCTTGGGAAGGTCAAATACCTTGTTCTAGATGAAGCAGATCGTATGCTCGACAAAGGGTTTGAAAAGGACATAAAAGAGATCATTGAGTCCATGCCTGCGTCCAAGCGTCAAACCGTGATGTTCACTGCTACCTGGCCTCCGGCTGTGACAGCTCTTGCTGCGAATTTTATGACCTCACCTGTTACTGTGACTATCGGCGGAGACCCGTCTGCCGATCCTCGGGCTAACACGAGAATCAAACAAGTTGTGGAAGTGGTCCAGCAACACGATAAAGAATCCAGACTTGTGCAGCTGCTCAATAAGTCTCAGCGGACGGGCTCAACCCCCGATAAAGTCCTGGCTTTCTGTTTATACAAAAAGGAAGCCATGCGTGTTGAAAGGCTTCTACGGGCTAAAGGGTTTCGTGTGGCCGGGATCCACGGCGACTTGAGCCAGCAAGAGAGATTCAAGAGCCTGGACGCTTTCAAGTCAGGTGCTGCTACAGTGCTTGTCGCGACAGATGTGGCAGCTCGCGGTCTAGACATACCTGCAGTCAAACAGGTCATCAACGTCACGTTTCCCCTTACAGTCGAAGATTATGTACATCGGATTGGACGGTGAGTAGCCATTCCACCCATATAACTCACTCCAGCTGACATGTTGCGCCCCTCCGTTTTAGAACTGGTCGTGCTGGAGCTGAAGGTTATGCCATCACCCTTTTCACAGAACTTGACAAAGCCCAGTCTGGATCGTAAGTCATATCTCTCATTCTGCTGCGTCTAGTTGAAACGGAGCACTTGGCTGACACATTCCAGGTTGATCAACGTCCTCAAGCAAGCAAAACAGGAGGTTCCAGAAGAGCTCCTCAAATTCGGCACGACTGTGAAGAAGAAGCAACACGACTCATATGGTGCATTCTTCAAGAACGTCGATACCGACAAAACAGCGACGAAGATCACGTTTGATGATTGAGCAGTTGTTTATTATATCGATTTTTGCTTCATGAGCTTGGTTTTGAACATCGGATAAAGTTTTTCGCACTTTGTTATAAGGAATTCTCTCTCAAGATACATTCTAGAAATAAATCATTAGAGATCGTTCACCGCCTATGAGAATTGACTTACACCAAAAGAGCGTACCCAGTTGCAACTGCACCGGATTTTAGGATTTCGCGTATGCCAAAGCCGAAGGCACCATGCCATGTTAGCCCTAGGGACATTCCAACTCCCGCAACGTATGTATAAGGCCGGAGACCAAATTCCGCCCAAGGCATTTTAATGCTATTTCGAAGCATGTACGACCGAATGAAGTGTATCCCCCAGAGGATGCGAACGGCCATATTGACAATGTTGGCGTAAACCAAACCATGGGCACCGAGATGAGCTACTCTCAAAAAGAAGTAAGCCGCGAAGGCGAAACACGCAGAGAACACCCCCATCCACCCTGTCTGGGTTCGAAGTTCTGAAGGGGTTGCTGCGCCAGAGACAAATGCCTCGATTATGCCATTGAATGCCAAGAATGGTATGTAGTAGCAGTACAGTGAAACCAAGCTAGTGACCACAGGAGAGCCCCATCGATGCCCGCCCAATGCATTCAGCATTTGTGGTACCAAGTGTGGTCCCAATGGCAAGACAAGGGCGGACATCATTCCATACCCACGCAAGATGTCGACTAGGTGTGCCTTTGCTGCATTGATAGCCTTGGTGCTTGTAGTACTCTCACTTGAATTGAGCAATGACGAGAACAGAATGCGGCTGCTCTCCTCAATCGGCTGGAATAATAAGCGAGCGACAAGCCCGCCATAGTTGCAGGCTAAAGAATATATTCCCTGGTCTTCCAAGCTTGTCATTGCTGCTAGGATAATTGCATCACCTTGCGTGAGGATGTGCTTGATGATAGACTGGAAGAAGGAATTTGCAGACAATGAAAGCAATCGACAAGAGAACGTGTCCGCGACGTAGCGCGACTGATCTCTGATCATTGTTATTAAACAGAGACTGCCCATGTTGTCAATGTGACATACCTAGATTTGAGTCGAGAAAGAAGTAACGAGAAGCGCCATTGTTTTCTTACGTCTCGCGTGACTTGGATGTACCCGAAGACAAGCGTGCAGGAATAACATAAGTGACCTAAAGCAAATGGAAGAATGCCGATAGTATAGCCGGTCCAGGAGGCCCAAGTAAAACAGCCGCACACTACCAAGCTTTTCACAAGGGCTGCGGACATTTCAACAGCTGCGCGCTTCTTGTAGAGCATGTGTTGCTGTACCGCAGCGAAAATGGGCTCGACGCTGAGTTCCAGTAGCGATGAGACAGCAGTAATAGCAACACTTATGCGGTAGAAAGGAGTCTGGGACACCTCTTCTGCGGCGAAGCGCACGTAGAAACCAGCAAACGTCAAAGCCAAAGGGATCCCTAGCCCCAGGCTGAGATAAGACATGTTCACCACAGTCTGAGATGATAAAGCCGATTGACGCGCAGCGTCACCACTTGATGGCGCTTTTGTTGCATCATTCTGCTTTTTCTTGGCGGTGTGGGCATCGAAGTGAAGTTCCAGTGGTTGTTTCTGGATTGCGACCCGGATACTCTCCCTGGAGAAGTATAGTATGGAGATAAGATAGAGTTCAAGTTGTGTCGCAACTCCCAAGATGGCCGGTGATAGGGTATGCAAAACAAGCTGGTTTGCAACGAAAGTGAAAAGCCTGGAGAATACTTGAATAGCAATCAAAAAGGAGGTCCCGGACACTGAAGATGTTAGTAGTTTACTCAGATTGTTTTCCTCAGGCGGTGCCATGTTGACATGAATCGGCTCTAGCTAGGCCGCGGGGAGTCTCTGTTGGTATTGTTTCGTGTTTGCTGGATTTGACCATTGCCGCTCAATGCGAGCTCCTAAGGAGAAATGTTTGTTTATGACTGCTTCCCAAAGCCTCACGAGACTTTTCTGACCCAAAAAGAGCAAACGCAGCAGGATGCCAGTCAGAGAGAATGTGAACTGGTGAGGTGGGTAGCTTTCCGGAGTAACTCCGCAGAAAGGCCATGGTGGTGCGTGGCCTTTATTTCCAGAGCGTGTTCTTTCCACACAGCATGTACTAACTGGACTATGCCCAATTTGACCTAGACCCAAAATCAACGCTCTACGTAGTATATCCTTAGTACAAAGAGCATACGGAATACCTATGAAGATCTATGAAGAGCACTTTTATTCTCTTAATACCTCACAAAAGATGTTAAGATCCAAGATCAAACTTTCATGGGATGGGTCAAGTATGTTTTCTCTGTCATTATTTTGATCAACCAAACGAAAATCCAAGAAGACTGATTATAGAGTAGTTTTATTCAATACCCTGATAACAAATTATATGCAAACTTATAAATTTTGATTGATCGGGATTCAGACCCAGTAAACTGTAAATATCAGATACTGATGAATTGATGGACATATACTGCATATATAGTATCTGCTGACAGTAAGCTGCGATAGTCATTTAAGCACAGTAATGTAGAACGTGATCAACTTGAGTGTTCACTGGCTGTGGAAGGAATAACATGTAACTAAGAGAAGGCTGGTCGAGAAGGCGGCTGCATATCTGGGAGGGTGGAACAGTCGGGCGGGGCGGACCTGAAGTAGTCAAATCAAATCAACATATAAAAGTAGATCAAAGCTTAACCCTGGTACCTTGATATAGAGTAGTAAGGTACCAGATAGGCACCTGAAAGTCAGCTAGTCCGCTGCGTGGGTCTAAGTTCGATCAAGGAAAGATCGGGTGGTTTGCTAAATCGTATCAATCGATTTCGTTTCTCGTATCCTTGTGGAAGCCTGTTGAGTACTGACTGATGTGGAGATGTTGTTTATACCATGGTTATACCTACGTGGTCTCCGCAATAGTTACCCGAGAGCAGCATCTAGAATAAGGAAAAAGTAAAGAGAAAAGAAAAGAGCCGTGCTTGTTGACTAGAAATTTAGAGCTGCTAAAATACACGAAGAGTGTTGGGGATGGACCATATGCACATTCAAATGGCTCGGCTTTGGTCGAGCCATCTGAACAGAGGTATGTTGCAAGCCACGTATAGCTGGCCAATGCAGGCTTCACCCTTCCATGATCCGTAAAGCCATACATTCTCTCAGCCAGAATATAGGTCCGATCAAAACGGGGGCAGAAAGAAAGGATACCCGGCATTTTTCGCCTTGAATACGCTGAGTAGGAAGCTGTACACGCCGAGAAGCACAGTGCCCCAAATTACCACGGCAACTTGCTGTGCCTTTTTATCCGCGGTACGAGGAACCTTCATTGCTAGAGCAATCGTCGCGAATGAAAGGACGGCGTCTGGTTGAGCCTTATGTTAGTACACGGTTGCACATGCAATGATGATACAAATATCATCAAGTAGAAACCGTCAACTTACAAATAGCTGCGACGACCTGCGTTTCCATCCCAAATTGGTTTTGGAATCCGCCCGCAAAATAACTAATACCGCCTTTACCATCCCCAACCACGTATGGTACTTTGCGGATATGATTGAACATGTGTCCACTTGTGAAGAGGAGGATAGCGATCAAGCTGACTGCAGCCCAAATGTTCCTGTTCTGAATGATCGGCAGGACATAAGGCGATAAAACCGTAAAGAGCGTTACCACGGCCATCAGGATAGTTACGAAAGAAACAATCCGCATGTAGTTCAGAGGGCGAACAAGAGGTGGCTTCGGACCTTCCGGGAGATGGCGGTTTATCCATGTATAAAGTTGATCGGCGGAGATAGGGCTTGTACAAGTATCGTCAGTCCAAGGGCCCATTTTGCAGAACAATTGTATGAGACTTACCCGCTGAAATCATATCTCAAGGGGCCACCGTCGACCCTAGCAGATGGTCCCACGGTGGGAGGAAACAGAAGGAGGACAGGCGCCGTTTGAAGCATCAACTTTTCCCGGACATATTAGCTGAGTGACAGACTCTCTGAAGTCAACCCATCACCATACCTTCTGGAACGTATTCCTTCCATCGGTGAAATCGAGAGTGCCAAATAGCAATTTCATGTCATCTGACTTCGAGCCCTTGTTCCAGCTCTTTGCAATGAGCTCCCACTCTGGCTGGAATTCGCGACACAGGACGCAGCCAAATCGAGGGTCTACGGCCGTGAGAATGACCGCGACATGGTAGTCCCGGGGCTTTGATGTCAATTCGTCGTAAGAAGAATCATCCAAGTCGATTGGACCTGAACGTGAGAGAGCCTCATATTTCGCGAATGTATCCGACTTCGGGACCGCGCCCAGCACAGCCGGAATTATAGAAACGAACGGAAGGAAGAAGGCGAGGATATTCATTGTGACGGTGCAGTTCTGGAGCACTCTGCTGCGTAGAGGAAGTATCACTCGCAAGGTGTATCCAACATCGGTGTTGCAATTGGTGTGGGTACAATGGTGGTTTTCTTATCTAACATACGTACGGCGCATTCTGTAGATACGTACCTACTGCCTCTCTTAACAGTAGCTTGTTTAGGTGTCCACTACTATGAAAAGGTCTGGTGGAATATTGTTCCCTTCCGACCCCACACCATACCGAGATCGGTAAGTAGCCCGCTCACCGCCTGGACACCGAGGTACGGTAACTCGTACGGTAAATCTGTCCGTAACTTTGGTGTTTATGGATGAGTTACCTACCTGTGGCCAAGCCACGGTGATCTGGTTGCCTCTAAACAGCATTGGCAGTAAGCTGCCCGTCTGTTCGGTACCTCCTCCGAGACATTGAAGTATGGGCTAGGTTTGAATTTACAGTATAATACATGTCCAACAGAACATAGAAATTACGTTAATCAATAATTTCTGGCCTTAAAACCTACATTATAGATGATGATGGATCATCGCAAGCAATGTCAATATTATAAGCTAGCTACATCTTCAACCTCCAGGCTGACCGCGAGATGTTGAAGTTACGCTACGTAACAGGACCAATCGAATTGTATTATACACTGAGTTTAAGGGAATCCACTTTTAAGTGGAGCTGATAAGATATGTAAAGTACAATTGTGCCGTCATACAATTTCGACCGCAAAGTCTTGGTAGACCTTCATAAGATGTTTACACAGTTACATGGCACCTGTGTCACCCGGAGCCAGCAAAATCTCTTGATCCATACATTTACTCCAAGACGCTTCGCATCTTCCAAAAGATGGCAAGCTCGCCAGCTCAATGATCGCTTCACCAGGGAAGCATCGGCACAAGGGCTAAAAAGCCGAGCCGCGTTCAAGCTCCTTCAAGTATGGCATATGATTACCATGGCCTGTTTCCCCCTGAGCCTTACACCTCTAACATCATGGACAGATTGACGAGAAATTCCATATCTTCAAGAGAGGCCAAACCGTCGTCGATCTGGTATGGCCATCAAACTCTTGATCATTTATTGTAGATGACAATCCGTCACGTTACTTACATTGACCTCGCGCAGGGGTATGCTCCCGGTTCTTGGTCTCAGGTATGCTTACTGCTCGTGGTGCTTATCTTCCCGCTGACCTTGTCCAAGGTTGCTGTATCTCGGACCCAACCTGGCGGCCGAGTTCTTGGTGTAGATATCATCCCAGCGCAACCCCCGAAAGGCGTGTCCGCAATCCAAGGGGATTTCCTTGACCCCAAGATCCAGGAATATGTTCTGGGGTTTGTGCGCGATTCAAGAATAGGGCAAATTCAACCAACTGTCTCATCGAATGGCACGGTGGGGCATAACCACAGTGGCCTTCAAACCGGTCTAGAATCGGACACTTCCGACGGCGATGCAGCTATAAACCAGACGCATCCTGAAACCCAGGACAATCCGAAGTCTCAGTTCACTGTCGATGTGGTATTGAGTGACATGTTAGCACCACCCAAGTCAAACCGCTGCATAATGGGAGAGATGTCTAAGTAGTTTATCAAACAGGATGATGAACACAAGCGGCGTGAAATTCAAGGATCACGCGGGGAGTATGGTAGGTCTTTCATCGATCATTTTTGAAAGTCATAATTGCTTAATTCTTTGAAAGGATCTCTGCCGAGCTGCGCTAGAATTCAGCTTTGTGGTCCTGAAGGCTGGCGGCCATTTTATCTGCAAATTCTACCAAGGTGCCGAAGACAGGGCTTTGGAGAAACAGTTGAAGTACCTGTTCGAGAAGGTACATCGACTGAAACCAGAGTCTTCACGTAGCGTTCGTGCCATTATCTATATTCTCTCCAAAAAATGACCGCGTACTGACTTGACTAATAGGAATCGAAGGAGACGTTTTTCATTGGCCTTAGACGCAAGCAATGTGCAACAAAAGATCAAGTGTTCGCACCACCATGAAACAGAGGAAGAATATATAATGGAAAGGACAAGGAACTGGAAGAAGAAAAGAGATAGTAAGGCAAAATATTAGTCGAGGTAACACGTGGGTGCGTCCTTCTCATCGTCATCAAACACAGCTACATCTGAGCTATGCCTGACACCAGAACCCCATTCATACTACCTACATCGCCTCGGCGAAGTCATCTGTTTCAGAAGCTTCATCCCATTCGATATCGTCGATCGTCGCTTCTGCTGTCGCTTGAACCTTTTAAACGTTAGCTTAGTACTGAGGAATGCGATATGATAACGAAAGAGTGCAAACTTTGAAAATTAAATAGGGAGGGGCTGCTTACTTCTTTGAGGCCACTCAACTCTTCGACATATCCGGTCTCGTTTAATGCCCTCTGTATAAACTCCCAACCCTCCTTTTTGTACGCATCAATGATATTGTCTGAGCAGGCGCTACAGCACTTGTAACTTCGACCCGCTACCGTGATATTCTCAAATGTCGACAGAAACCCTCGAATCTGGTGCGGCAGAAGTCCTAGAGGATGGTTTCCATACTCCTCACTTCGTGAAGCCGGAGCTGGCGCTGCTGCTCCTTGAGGGTGTTGGAGGATTGAAATAAACAACTCGACCAGTAACGCTGAAGCTATGGGGGCTACCCCGGGCCGAGTAACAGTGCACTGCTGGTCGAGTGTTTGGTCTTTCACAGACTTCAAGTATCGAGTTAACCATTAGAAAAATACATTCCAGGACTGGCCATGACTTACATTCATAGGTGCCACAACATCGTTGCAAAAATAGCAGCCAAGTTCTGATGTTGGGTCGGCGCTATTCTTGACGCCATGACGCATAACCACGTAAGAGTCAAATCCGAGTGCGGCATTCATTACGATCTTGCCGGCGGCCTTTCCCATGACTGTCGGTAACCACCGCGACTCTCTGGTATCCATCAGAACGAAGATAGCATCGTGTTTGTCAATCAAATCTTTGAGGACTTCAAAGTCTGCTCGGGTCTTTTCGGCGTCTATCACCGGGTGGCCTGCCATCGGTACGGAGAGCGCATGTCCTGTAGATTCAACCCCAGGGAAAATCTCCGATAAAGCCTGCGCAGCACGGTGTGCCTTCTTGGCACCGCCATCTATGCAGTCGGCGAAGTTGAACAACGGTTGCCTTACAGGGTTAGAGAACGATACAGACCCGTTATCAACGAAGGTTATTCGAGTTACACCCCAGCCCTGAGAGTAAGAGTTATTTAGTGTGATAGTGAAGGTAATTCACAAGAAACCTTACCATTAAGTTTCGAGCAACGTAAGACCCTAGGGTCCCTGCGCCTAGTAGAAGGCATCTGGTCTTTTTGATCTTCTCTAGTTCCAAATTGGGGCTGATGCGCCACTTCATGAGCTTGAGATTGAGGTCTACAGACTGGTCCGCCAGCCTTTTCAGTAACCAATCAGGTGTGGTCAGTGAACGGTTCGTTGTATCTGTAAGTGAGATCTTACCTTTTAGGGTCAAGATATTCCGTCAAGTCAATCATTCGCCCTGTTAACTTTCCTTCCGGGTTGCGTTCCCACCCAGTTACTTTGGGCATGGGTTTTGGTGAAGCTTCCGTAGACCTCGAATCGGGCGAAGTTTTCGATTCCAATGTGATGATAGTGCCACGACATTGATCACGCATCGAATGTATATCGCGATATCGGAGAATTTGAACTCGATTAAGCCCCCAGCGCTGTTTCACGAGGACTAGTAAATTCCTCAGCATCCAACCGGGTGCATTCGCATAATTCGAAGGATCCACGAAGCATATGAAGCAATCTTCTGGTTTTGCTCCATCGAAGAAACCGCTCTCATAGCTCGAGAGGGCGTCAATTCTCCACTGGTTGGGCGTCAGTTCTTGTTGGCTTGTCGTCTTTTCACCAGTGGTAGCAGAAGAGTCTTCACGGCCATCTAAGCTGGAAATTCTTCGAGCTAAAAAAAAGCCACGTTGGCGTGCGTCGACACCATAGCTCCATGTTTGAACCGCTTCGACGAGTGCAGAATTCTCGGAAGCAGTCAAAGACCCAGTATTACTGCTTTCACTCCCACCAGAACAGGGTTTGGGAGCTTTACTTGGACTTTCTGAGGCAGTCCAAGAAGGATCCGAATGAAGAGCAGGTGAAGCAAACCAGTAGTAAAACTTGTACTTCTTCAAATCTGCGTACGATAAGATGACGAATGAAGACAGTAGTGATGGACAAGAGAAGATACTGCCATCATTTATCGCATCCCATACCTAAGGGACGTTAGCGATACCATAGTCAACCATTCTCTGTTTATTGCGACTGACCGTTTCTCCAGATTGCCGGAGCATATGTGCTTTATCGATGTTTCGGTATTCCTCAATAGTATTGACATTTTTAATTAATCCTTCAGCACGATAATAACCCCCTAGGGCACTAAGCAAAATGATTAATTGCTAAGCTTGATGGTTACATGTAGCATGGTGCAATGGTCTCCAAAACCGATTGCCCCGGGTTGAGGGCCTAGTGAATAGACTTACTCATTGCTTGTGAGCGCATCTCCGTGGATTTGCATCCGGCATGATGTTTCGGGGGTGTCTGTTGGACGGATCTCATAAAGTCCTAAAACTTTGCGAGCAGAATCATCCAGCTTATCATGGTTGATCTTCAGTGAAGCCAAAGCAGTGAAAAATGGCAGTTCTATATCTGAGGCAAACGGTGCGTATTGCATGATTCACTCTGCCGGGTGCGGAGACCGAGAGCTCACAGAAACAGTTAATGATGGCCGCGGGTCTCTAGCATACAAGTCCTTGAGAGATATTCTTTTGGACCCCTTTGACAGATGTGCACGATGAGTTGGATTATTCTGGACAGGGTTTGTTTGGATGACTCGAGTCACGTAGGCATTACTGAGCTGAAGTTGCAAGTCTAAATCAAAGTAGTCGTCGTATACTTGTTGCTAATGGTAGTACGGAGTAGAGTATATAGGTAGGTATAGAGAGGTATGTAAGTCAAGCGGGGTAAAATTGGGGTCAGAACTCAAGGCATGATAAGGTGACGTTTTGATTCTAATTCTGGTAAAAATACCACTAAACATAGCTTACTTGGGGCTGGAGCAGGTATTAAATACAAGCCGCTGGGGGTAAATTATTATTTTTGGTACGGTATAGGTACAACTAGCGCCTTGTGACTACCCTTAGACCATGTAACTTATACCAGGTACATGACCTTTCTACCTGACCTTACCAGGTGGTAACATATGTAACCAATAGTAATACTGCTGAGCCTGGGAGCAAGCCATGACAATGATGACACTGGTACCTGCTGACCCTTACACACTTGAACTAGTTAAACATGGGTGGTTTTGTTAAGGGACTGTAGATCATGGATGGTTTTCTAGGAGTCCATTCCCCGCTTTCTTCATAGCTTCCTGCCATGAAATCCAGACATGGTAATCATGTGTCTTGATAGTTTCTTATTCTCGATCTCATCACCGTGAGTACACATGGCTGTTTTTTAACTGATATCAAAATAAGCAATATTAGCCACGCTTTATTTGACTTATATAGAGTATTTTTAGGAAGAGCCAAGAAGACAATTGATCGTGGTAGGAATCGTTGGTGGTTTTTATAAAAGAATGTTTTAAACTAGCGATCTTGCATACACCAGTGAGTTCATTGATCACAAGGTGATATCGAACTGAGAGGTTCTTCTGATGAGAGGGGTCTCCAATTCTTTGATTCTCGGGCTGTGATTCCCTGAGGCTAACTCTGCCGCCCCGCAAACCGCCGCGCAGTCACTTTTCTCTCTTTCAACAGTCTAGACTTGTTCTTTGTTCCCTGCCTTCACGGTGATAGGTGTCTTACACAATAGGCTGGAAAATTAGATTATAGGCTCGGTTCTCCTTTGATCTGGGCAACTTTCTATATGCTACAGTCCCTTGGCTCGGAGAAATAATGTTAATTGGGTTATGCGGAGGTTGGATTCATCTCTTCAAGCGACAGCCCAAAGCTACCTACTGTCTCAACTAACCCTGTGTTGTTCGCCTAGGCATATGCTCCGGAAAGCATGCTATCGCAGAATACCTTATCCAACATCAAGGGTTTCGACTAATTAAACTGAGAACTACAAGTTCTCCCCGGATAACCGATGAGCCCGAAGATGACCTTCGGCTCCGAGCTTCTACACTTGGGATAAATGACGACTCGTCACAACTGGTATTTGATAGTGTCGATAGCCTCATCAGCTTTGCAACCGAAAGATGGCAAGAAAATTTGGTCACAACGGATATCTGGGATGGCGCCACGCTAGACCGTTTTCTTCTACGTCCTTTTTTCCTTCTTGTCAGTGTTGATGCCCCAGTTAGTCTCCGATGGAAGCGATTTGCAGAAAGGTCAGCCTCTAAGAGCCTCTAACATTCCTGGAATACGTGTCTTCCAATTGATAACGGATAGTTAACGCATTCACAGATGTCAAAAGAGACAGCTTGATCCCCCGCCTCTTGAAAAGTTCGTTCTTTGGAACGACCAACATTTATATGAGAAGGACGTTGGGAGTGCCTACTTAACAGACCGGGCACAAGTCCGGTTGTTCAATTCTTCGTCTTCACTGGAAGCATTACACGAGGCAATCAGGACACTCAATTTGGGTGACGAGGAGCGTGTTCGCCCAAACTGGGATCAATATTTTATGCAGCTGGCTTCCCTTGCTGCACAACGAAGTAATTGCATGAAACGCAGGGTGGGATGTGTCCTTGTCCGAGAACGCCGCGTCATTAGTACCGGGTACAATGGCACTCCACGCAATCTCAAAAATTGCAACGAAGGTGGATGTAAGATATAGCTCCAAGCACCAAGAACCCTCGAGGCCCCTGCTGTCTTTCTGCAGAACATAGGCTTACCAATAGGCAGGTCCAAGGTGCAATCGGGGCGAAGGTGGGGGTGTTGGCCTATCAACCTGCCTTTGTCTTCATGCCGAAGAAAATGCATTGCTGGAGGCTGGAAGAGAGCGCATACGAGAAGGTGCAACTCTCTACTGTGATACGTAAGATCCCATATCCTGGGCTAAGAACCAGTCAACTGTCTTGCTCTCTGAGAAGCTAACCCACCCCTGTTATCTCAAGATGTCCTTGTCTAACATGCACCGTCAAAATCGCGCAAGTTGGCATTAGTGAAGTGGTTTATTCACAGGGCTACAACATGGACCAGGATGTGTGTTCCTTTACAGTCTCCTACATGTTGAATTGGGCTAACCAATATCCAGAGTGCTGCAATCTTGGAAGCTGCCGGTGTACGCCTGAGGCAATTTTCTCCTGTGAGCTATCAAGCCGTTTACCTTGAACCTTGAATCCAAGCACTAACCAAAGACAGCCTCGGAATGGATTGATTCATCTAGGGAGCTAATTCTGGCCCTTGAACAGCGTACTTGGACATTGCCCTGTATATACATCTGTCGGCATTGCTATGGCCATCGTAAGCTTGAAAGCCAGGTCTCTATTTCCTCGAATGTTATGTATTTACATACAAAATCCAAACAAGACATAATATTCTCCATCAGCTGTTCTCTATTAGCATCAGGATATTGACAGTTCAAGCTTTCTGAGTATTATTTGAGAGGAGTCAATATGGTAAAGCTTCTAATGTTCCTCAGTAATAATTACCTTGAATTTAAAGACCAGCGCTTGAATAATACTCCTATGCACTTTCAAGTCAGGTTAGGTACGTCATTTTGTGCATTTGCAGCAAATTCATCTGTAAAACAGCCTAGGAGGGTAATGTTACCACATTGTATCAGACTGAATTACACTGTAGCCGGGATCTTCCATACGTAATGCTACACTGGTAAGGAACTGAAATACGGACCAAAAACGAACCCTTAGTTACAAGTTGACTCATAATCAATAGTGGGGTAACAAATGATTTACCACCAAATATTATTTCCCCGATACCTACTCTCCCACCTTGAATTAATGGATACAAAGTTTGCTAACTATAGCTCTTTGTCAACTTACTCTTATTGAGTAATAACCACCACTATGCCTACAGTTCATTTGCTTGACTATGTCGCTGGCAACGTTCGGTCCTTGGTCAATGCCATTAATCAAGTCGGGTACGAGGTCGAATGGGTTAGGTCACCTCAAGATCTCAAAAATGCAGAGGTGAGAATTTGCACTTTGTTGGGCCTTGTTCAAACTCACGCGATTCACTTGGGCTAATTTGGGTTTGACGTTTAGAAATTAATCTTGCCGGGAGTAGGTCATTTTGGCCATTGCCTGTCTCAGCTATCGGAGGGGGGTTACCTGGATCCAGTGAGGGAGCACATAAAGTCAGGGAAACCTTTCATGGGAATCTGCGTCGGGTTGCAGGCGCTTTTCGAGGGATCCGAGGAAAACCCCGCTGTTCCGGGGTTGGGGATGATTCCAATGCACATGAAAAGGTTCAGTGCCGACACAAAAAGTGTGCCTCACATAGGCTGGAACTCTGCCATCAAAACCAATGTTGAACCTTCGCAGGATGAAAGCTTCAACGGGCTGAGTGCCAACAGCAAGTATTACTATGTTCATTCTTATGCGGCCATTTACGAACCCGGTGTCCTCGAGCGAGACGGCTGGTCGGTAGCCACGGCAACCTATGGCGAAGAAGAATTCATCGGTGCCATTGCGCGAGGGAATGTTTTCGCGACACAATTTCACCCGGAAAAAAGTGGACAGGCTGGATTGCGCACCATCCGTGCTTTCCTCGACGGTGGTGGGCTTTTGAAATCCACGGGAGCACCGGCGCCGAGGAGAGAGAACGATGGGTTGACCCGCAGAATCATAGCTTGTCTGGATGTTCGCACCAACGATGACGGTGACTTGGTGGTCACCAAAGGTGACCAATACGATGTTCGCGAAAAGAGTGGCGCAGAGGAGGCTGGAGGCAATGTAAGGAACTTGGGCAAGCCCGTCGAAATGGCCCAAAAGTATTACAACCAAGGAGCGGATGAAGTCACTTTCCTGAACATCACTTCGTTCCGGAATTGTCCGCTGGCCGACACTCCCATGCTTGAAATTTTGAGACGAGCTTCAGAAACTGTTTTTGTGCCCCTGACCATTGGCGGTGGCATCAAGGATACCGTGGATACAGATGGCACCCACATACCGGCCCTTGATGTAGCCACCATGTACTTCAAGTCGGGGGCTGACAAAGTTAGCGTTGGGTCAGATTCTGTCATTGCAGCCGAGGAGTTCTATGAGGCCGGTGAAGTCTTGTCCGGAACCACAGCCATAGAGACGATATCAAAGGCCTATGGAAACCAAGCTGTGGTTGTGAGCGTCGACCCAAAACGCGTCTATGTCGATTCACCCGAAGACACCCACCACCACACTATTCAAACGCAGTATCCAAACGAGGCCGGCCAGAAGTTCTGCTGGTATCAGTGCACCATTAAGGGTGGTCGAGAGACCAGGGATATCGATGTCTGGCAATTAGCCAGGGCCGTCGAAAAGATGGGCGCCGGAGAAATTCTCCTGAATTGTATTGACAAAGACGGGAGCAACAGTGGGTTTGATCTTGAACTGATCAACGATGTCAAGGCTGCCATCAAAATCCCAGTTATTGCCTCGAGCGGGGCAGGTAAGCCTGAGCATTTCGCAGAGGTGTTTGCATCCACAACAACCGATGCGGCTCTGGGTGCCGGCATGGTGAGTCTTCCCAAATGGGCACCCCCCAGTTGGCCACTGAAATGTGCTAATAGGATATAGTTCCACCGCGGCGAATACACTGTCGCCCAAGTGAAAGATTACCTGGGTGAAAATGGGTTTTTGGTTCGGAGACCTGACACTGGTGTATAGAGTCTCTGGGCACGAAACACTCCTACCAAACTACTATCATTCTCTCGCTTATAGAACGACGTTCTTGTTTTGCAAATGGTGCCGGAATTTTCATGGGGGCCTTGTTATTAGACACCTATATCGCCGTTGCATTCTTGTCAAATGGAAGACACGGCCACCACCCCAGGGGGGATTAAGGTGTTGTTCCAATCATCAAGCCCGGCGGATGGGCTACGTGGTATAGATATATTAGACTGGACGAGACAAAAATAATAGAATCACTCATGTAAATCAAGAGAACAATTTAGCCTAGGATTGTGATTGAGTGGTTATGTACCTATAGCCTCTTATTTCCAAGACCGACATATCATAGGGCCACAGGACGAAGAGAGTTCTTTACAGGATGTTTTCATATCTGTTTGTATGACAGTGTAGTAGCCATAATATCTCGACAAAGCGTGGGTCTGTGATAACAAAACCACCCTTTTTGTCGCAAATGCCGGGCCATTCTCGCATTACACCATAGAAGATAGTGTATCTACTCTACTCCGTAAATAAAAACTTCCGGTACAAAGCCCTGCTATGTTATAATACAAGCGGAGAGTCATTGTTCTTTAATAGTTAATCGAAAATTGTGTGTAAGCAATGAATAAAATTTTATGACAAGACAGTAACAAGTGCATGTGTAGAATGCCGTATATCCTTGTCTCTTGTTAGCAAGTAAGTTATCTTTAGATGATGTTACGGAGTAGTTAGCTATGAAACTCTGACATGTCGAAATACCCAGCAACAAACCATCAAAAATACCTACAAAACCAGTATAACTGATGCATAGTCTGTTTACACAATATGAAGTACGCTACTCCGTCCTCCGTACAATATTCTCAAATTGACATAACCGTCTTTTATTGTCAGGTATTGAGGAAACGCAGATACGGAGTGGACACATTTGTGGTACCGAGCGCTATTAGCTAGCGTGTTAGCAGCCCCGGCCGAAACCTGAGCATCCACGTGACAAGGGAGAATTGCCACCATCCGAGGACCTGCCTGGTCAGGAACTTCACAGCGAGACGCCTTTGATCAAGTCAACCCAGTGCTTGGAGTTGACGATTACTTATTTACTCCGCCATCAAACAGACCCGACCGTTAGACGACTACTTTCTGGTCATACTTTGCATAGGTCATATGTGCAAGCAGTATTCTTGATCCTTTCCCCTTTCATGCTCCCCCTGTCACGTCTTTGAAGGCCCCCCTCCTTTGACCCAATATCAAGCATACTGTTTCCCCTCAGCCTCAATCGCTGCAAGAGTCTTGACCAACCTGATACCTACCACTTCAGTCTACGAGGACAGGACAGGATCTCGGAATCCTCTTTATTAATTAGTGGACAGACAAGGGCCGTGAAGCCTTCGTCAAATCACCTTCCATTCATTCATTGCAGCACATAAACTTGACCTGTTTTCTATACCCATCCTTCTTTTTGTTTATGCGTAGGGATTCCCAGAGGTCCCTTCCGGCATTCAGCAAAGTCGTTTGTTTGATTTCATGAGGTTGAGCAGTATTGTCAAGACATTGGCTTTTATGTCTGAGATATTATAAGAGAAAAGGAATCTCAAGCTATAATATCATCGACCTTTTACTACTCTCCTATCTTTACTTCCTGTCTCCGAATATTCCTATCGTCACTGTATCCTTCGTTGTGAAAGTGGTCTTCCCTCCTTTAATCTTGATCTAATTACATTCGCAATCACTTTCATTGGACGTGCAATTGAATACAATGTCATCCTCTGTTCACTTCAAGTTCAAGTCTCAAAAGGAACCCTCCCGGGTGACATTTGATGGCACCGGTATCTCTGTCTTCGAACTGAAACGAGAAATCATCAATCAGAGTAGACTGGGTGACGGAACCGACTTTGAGCTGTCGATATACAACGAAGATACTGGAGAAGGTGAGTTTCCTCTTGCTTGCGCACTCAATCATCACTGCCCGCCACCCAGGTATCTTGTCGCTGTCAGCGCGGAGAGAGAGTCAAGACGTGGTAGCGCTAACGGAATCCTCTACCCTCCTAGAATACGACGATGATACTACTATCATACCTCGGTCTACATCGGTTATAGCTCGCAGGCTTCCAGCGTCGCGTCCTGGGAAGGGCGGTGCGGCTCGTTATGTGTCCGGTAAAATGCCTGTCAACGCGCGCCCTACCGGCCGCAGCGACTTTCCCTCGAATCGAACAATGCCCAACTCCAGCGGCACGGTTAGCAGCGGCGTTATCGAACTGAATAATGCCCAGACCGAAGAAGACAAGATCAATGCTCTTTTCAATCTGCAGGCCAACCAATGGAAAGAACAACAGCAAGAGATGGCGAAGTAAGTGTCCTTTAGATACTGCCAAAGATTCCTATTAACAAATGCTTGTAGCGCCACACCCGTCCCTTTCGGCCGTGGGAGGGGAAAGCCTGTAAATGTTCCTGATCACCCACCTCCACCGGGGTATCTTTGTTATCGCTGCCGTGAAAAAGGTAAGTTATGTTGTACCCCGCACATTGCTCATCAGTTGCTGACTAACAATCGAAATAAAGGCCACTGGATCCAGGCGTGTCCAACAAATAATGACCCAAAGTTTGATGGCAAGTACCGAGTGAAACGGTCGACAGGGATCCCTCGTTCTCTCCAAACGAAGGTTGAAAAGCCAGAGTCTATCTCAATGGATGGCTCAAACGAGGACTTGAGAAATACAGGCATTATGGTAAATGCCGATGGTGATTTTGTCATCGCTAAACCAGACAAGGCAGCTTGGGAATTGTATCAGGAAAAGGCAAAAGCAAGTGCTGCAGCTGCAGCAGAAGCGGCAGCTGCAGAATACAGTAAAGAATTGCAGTCGCGTGGTATAGAGTGTCCAATTGACAAGCGGATATTCCTGGAACCCACAAAGACGCCATGTTGCCAACGTACTTACTGCAATGATTGTATTACCAATGCATTGATTGAAAGTGATTTTGTCTGTCCCGGATGCTCAACTGAGGGTGTTCTGCTTGATAACCTTACCGTGGATGACGAGTCCGCTGCGAAGATAAAGGCCTATGAAGCCGAAAAGGCGGATTCGAAGAAAGAGAAGGAAAAGCAGCAAGCAATTCAGGAGGAACAACCGGCAAATCGACAACCTGCTGCGGGTGAGACTTCGAATACACCGGAGGCTTCATCAACCCCAGTCTCTGCCGGTGAAAAGCCGACGACCGCATCCTCGGGGAAGAGGCCAATAGAGGAAGTCGAGCCAGCCAGCGGCGACAAGGAGGAATCAAATGATGCCATGCCACCGAAGAAATTAAAGGGCGAGGATCGCCCGTCGTCTGTTACTTTTCCAGATACACAAACCCAAGACCCGTCCTCGCAATTCCCCCCACTTCCGTTTGGTCAACAAATGCCCTTTGGCGGTATGGGCTTCCAGGGTATGCCTCCAGTCCCATTCCCTGATGCTGGCTTTTCCGCGGAGGGAATGGGGTTCATGAATCCTATGTCGATGCCCCCCACGAATGGATTTCCAAGTAGCATGGGTCAGGCCTGGGGTCCCATGAACGCCATGAATTTCAATCCAGCTCAGAACGGAGTGTACCCTGACCATGCAAATGGCCCAATTTCTAACAACTTCGGTGCACCGAATATGTACAATGGTTCAGGGGAACCACCGATGGGCATGTTCCCTATGCAAATGCCAGGCCTTCCCCAGCACAATGCGGGCTTTCCACAGGGCGCAGGGATGGGTCATTTCTCAAATCAACAACGAACAAGTTTCAGTACTCCCTACGCCAGGGAGGAAGACACAGCATACTTCCGTCAACCTGTTAATCCCCAGCGACATCAGTCAAGACATAGGCGGATAAGACCAAGCGATTATCGGGAGCTTTGAGGGTGCTGTAAGATATTTTGTGTTACGGCTTTGGTTTTGTTTTACTTTTCATGTCTCATTTCATGCTGCACAGCCGAGGAGTTTCTGGACATGTTCATACTTCATACATAAATCACACAATAAGACTACCAATATCAATAAAAAGGAAATAAATAAATAAACCAGACGATTGAAATGGAATTGAGTTGATTTTAGTTCAATGGAAATAGTAGAAATATCAATACCAATACATACCCTCATTCTGTATATCAAAGCTGCCACTCACCCTTGCTTGGGCAATGTTAATGCGCGAAGAGCTTCTTCACCAAGCATCTGACTCTCGTAGGTGCATTGGGTGTCGGTTGCTCCTTGGAACTACGTGGCCACTCCCTTCAGTATGACTATAGAAATGCAAACAATCGGTCAACTTAATTAATTGGTTTTATGGAGATTGTGCCCTGTGTATACAGATCAAATCCGCCATGCCATTCCTTTTTACCTAAAGAATGCCAAGAGGATATCGTTATCTCTTGGCAACGTGAGTCAATCATGACTAATTCCAGACTTGTGGCGGTTCGAGAATCTGGGGAGCTCACCGCACCCCCTCTCAGTCCAGTCAAGTATCTATCAGCTTCACATACTCATAAGCCAAATTACCATAACTCCTTCGATAACTTACCATCCATTCGATACTCTATCGCTTCTACCATTGTGGTGTATACATTTCGTTACCTTTTTCCAAAACAGATCCTATCATTCCCGTTGGACAATCATCATCATGGCGAAGTTTATGAATAACAGCAGTAGTAGTGGCAATCAGTTACAAAGATTGTTCGATAAGAACCCCCAGACTTCTTTCCTTGCAAGCTGCTATAGCGTCAACGCCCGCACTTCGGGTGTTACTGGGTTCCACTATTGCGCTACGTCGGGGTTTGGTAAGACTCCATATCTATATTCGCATTTGCTTGCTGGAGCGATACTAATACAACAACCATGACCTACAGGGGAACAGTGGTATCCCTGAGGTCCCCTCGGGGCCAAAACCATTCGCATTAAGTCCTCCCTTTGAGCTGTGTAATGCTCCAGACATGAGGAGCAGCCGGTGGGCCGACAGTCCATCGGAACTCAAAGAGGAGGCGGCGTATACCATCCCGGGAGAGTGTGAGAGGCTCTTCTGTGACAATATGGCTACAATTTTCCTTGGTGAGGGGAGTTTTGTCCGGCCTGAGTCATTTGGGATGGATGCGCTTGATGTCCGACCCGACGAAGCAAAGAAGGAGCGCACGTGTATTCAAAGATGGGTCGAAGTCCTGGATTACACAAGCGACGCTGTCTATCGTGGGTTTGTGGGGAGTGTTGGTGAAGAACAAACGCTATTTGTCTTCTTTGAAGAGGGTATTCCAGGATACAATCTTAAGACTGGGTATGTATACCACGTTATGTTTTATCGTATTGGGGTGTTGCCGCCACATATTGACGTCTCTTCCTGTCCGGCAGATTGATGGCCCTATTTGAACTTGCCAACCTGTCTGATTTTGGGTGTACACGAATTGTTGCATGCATTTCGCGATCCCAAGATTCGACAGAGCATGAAGTGATCAGAAACTTAGGCTGGTGTGGGTTTAGCTTGACTACTCTACAGCCTTGGTGCAGTAAGAACCACAGAGAACCTGTGATCAGCGCGAAGTGGCTTTTCTTGAGTGCCGAAGTTTAAAGGCGGAGTACTAATATGATCTACCCCCGCATGTCAGCAAATTAAGCGCATTGCAACGGACCTGTATGATTAATATGACACCTTAATATATTTATTTACTATCCCTGGGTGACAATGACCGGGGCAGAGCCCTTTTTATAGTTTAGTCAAATGTACGGTGTACGGAGTAATATGAAACATGACTGCCAGGTGACTTCTTGCGAACGGCTTCCCTGCACTGGGATTTTGTATCTTGAATGCGTATCCAAATCCCATTTAACACCTTGTCAATCGGATAGATCAAGAGAGGAGGCCCAATGAAGAAAAGGGAATTTGGGTTTAGGTGGCTGATTGACTGAATAATGCCAAGAGGAGACATCACTACATATACCCGTTGGTGGAGGTAAAGGTACCCAGGTACTTACTGAGGGAGGCAACTAGCTTACCGACCGATGACCTCAACACAACCTCCACCCGTCGAGCTGGCAACCTCCCGATGCTCATACCACCAAGCCCGACTAGACAATTATCTTTACGTTTAGACTTCAAGCCCACGGCTAGGTAATTGTCTAAAACATTTAATACAACAATACCAAATTAAAATATATTCGCATGTTTCCCAAGTTCCTCCTCCCAACGGCCGTCTTCCGCCCTAGACCGTCAAATGCGGGGGAGCGGCCATCCGTCTCTTCTAGTACCACGAGCGCCTCGCTAGATGAGGAGGACCCAACAGACAAATATCTGAGTGGCCATGTATCTTGCATCCGCTGCTCTCGCTGTGCTGCGGATCTTTGCTTGACGTCCCAGATAATCAGCAAAGGCTTCACCGGTCGCCATGGCAGGGCGTACCTTGTTTCAGCAGATCCCGTTGCCTCGGCCGTCTCTGTCCATGTGTCCTCCTCACCCACGGAGTCGCTTCCAAACACGTTCATTCAAAAACCCGTCCCTCGTCAGTTAGTCACCGGGGCACACACGGTCAGCGATATCACCTGCGCTTTCTGCGGGAGTGTCCTCGGTTGGAAATACGTTGCTGCCGAAGAGAAGTCCCAACGGTACAAAGTTGGAAAGTTTATATTGGAGACGAGGAGGATCACAACGTCTTCGTCTTGGGAATCGCCCTCTTACTCGGACTCGTCTGCCATTTCCCCCACCCCGGGCCCCCAGGAGACAAAGCTGGAGACACCAGATGAGGGCGTCGAGTTTGATAGCCAGGACGAGGATGAATGCGAGGACCTGTTTGCTGGGATATGGAACCCTGGTCTGGCAATACGCCGGAGAAGTCGGAAGTTGGATTGCCAACCCTCAATGTTTGGATTGTCCTCTTGAGAATGCCAGTATGGTGCAGGCTGATTTTAGTATCGAGATAATCTTTGGATAGACGAGTTTTGTTTGGTTTTGGGGTTTTGGTACAGCTTGTCATCTCAGATTCAATAGCCCTACGTTTGCCTACATGGCAGTAGTAATAGTAATGCCAATTAGTCAAATACAGATACCCCATGGATTTGTCCTTTCAATGAATCATTCGCGCTAGAGCCGCTGTATTTTTTATACATTATGCCTGTAATCTTCATTGGATGGAGAATGAGTAGATTCCCACGAGAAGGACAAGAATGGAATTGAACCCGGCGAATACATAAGTCGTCAATTGAATGTTTGATTCACTATTTACTATCAGCCCGTGCTTTTTTTGTCGCCCCCTCAGATCCTTCTTCAGGGACGGAGCGTTTCTGGGAAGATCCCTGGCCAGCGGCAGGTTTCCGCTTGACGAACGCAGATAGATCGTTGGCACCCTTGGTGGCTGCATCTAGCTTGTTCTTCTGCTCGGAGGGAGATTGACCCATGATCTGACCAAGAAGTCCTTTGAGCATCGCCTCTTCCTGATCATCCGACTCCTTGATTGACACTGGGGGGCGTCGAAGGTCGACAAGCTGCAAAGTGTGAGTTATCTGAAGGCACTGCATGAGGCTAGAGTCCGGAGATTACTTACCCTTTGTTCCATGTCGGCGGTGATTTCTTTGACGTTGTCTATTTTCCTCTTCATGGCAATAACCTTGTCTTCATCCATAGATTCACTGCTGCTCAAGACGCGCTGCTCCTGATCTATCCTGATCTTACAGCTCTCAATTGCCCTCTCCATTTGAGTGGCCGCCTCCTTTCGCATCTCATGATCAACCTTGCTGTGGTCATCACCCTCTCCTTCTGACCCATCGCCTTTATTCATGGATGCAAATTCTAAAGCGAGCGAAAGTTTGTAGTGGCACTCAGCAACGCATGGATCCTCCATAGGAAACAAAGACTCTCGTAAGCTAAGGGTAGTCCGTAAATCTTGCACCGCGTCTTGGAATCTCTCAGCTTCGAGTGAGATTTCGGCCTGTAAGTCATAAGTGTCGGCGAGGCGTTCCTTGATGTGCCGTTGATCTGGCGAAATGTCTGATGTCTTTCCTTTTCCGTGCTGCTCTTCTTCTGAATCTAACTTTTTCTGAAAGAGTATACGGGCCACATCGAGGACTTCAAAAGCGTTGGCGAAATCGTCTTCTTCCTCTTCCTCCTCAGCGCCAGCACCTTCTTCTCCTTCCTCGTCGACATCAGAATCCGAATCATCGTCAAAGTTCTCGTCGCCGGTGAACTGAAAAAATGGTTTATTCTCAGAATTCCCTGACTGCGTATCCGTCCCACCGGGAGCTGGCTTCCCGGGCTGAGCACTTGCTGTGGCGGTGGTGGCAGCCTTTTTGCTCCGTGATGCTGAGTTGGACGAGGATCCATGGTCTGTAGGCGCAGCTGTTGATTGTGGCTGGGGCTCCCCGGCAACTTTGGACCCAAGGACGTCACTATTGCTCACAGCCACGTTGTAAAGGGCCTTCCCATAAGAGTACAGCAGATCGGCGTTGTCAAGCGACAGCTCACCATTGAGCTTGGCTTGGAGCTCGGTAGCTTCAGAGTAAAGCTCGGCAGCTCCATTGAAGTCCTTGATAGCGTCCTTGGCTCTAGCTCGCTCGACTAACTCTGCCAGTTGTTTCGACTCATCTGCGACTGGGTTTTTCGAGATATCAACGTTTGCGGCGTCCGCTATATTCTCGGCCATGGTTGTAGTTTTGGGCGATCGAATGAAAATGGGTTCTTGGTTTGGTGTCTGACAGGTTTTTGGGGAATGACCAAGATTCGATGCAGAGGATAATCACAATATTTGGGGCGAGAGAAAGATGTAAAACAATAGAGAAAGCTTCTATGAAGACTGACAAAAGCTAAGTTGTAAGTTCGGACGGACAATGCGAAAGACCAGGCGAGTTTGGACTGTTTGAACCCCGTTCCTACATGAGACCCACTATGGAGTAGTCTGGCCCAATACTCACGCGTCTTCACGCGTTGCCACGCGCCTTATCACTCAACTCATTATAGAATTCATTACTCCGAGCCCATCTATGTATAGACTTCACTAATGGCAACTGACACCCTACTTCTGGTAAGAGAGAATCAACGGGCACAATTATTCCACTGGGGCTCATCTTGAGGCTTCCTTTCCCAGACTTGATCACAGTGGAATGAGTGACAGCATATGCTGATTAGTTTGAACAGCGACCTATGCAATGATGGGTATGGATACAGTGCCTTCATCCTCGCCTGGGTTTGGCACCCCGGCGCATCCACTTCGACATAATAAGCCCAATATACTTTCAACAAAGACGTCCATCCTTCCGATTCTTCTCCCTCCTTCCACTTTGAGGCCTGTGGCCTTCCGAACAATTACTCGGAAGCACAACCTGACGATATCCTCATCTGCGCTCCAAACTTTGGCAAGCTTTGTAGGAAAGAATTGTGGGTCAGGATGGCGCGAAGAAGGCCTCGCAGAACGGGTCTTGGACGAGGTGGCTAAGAGCTGGAAGAAAGCTGGAGGCGGCGTCATTATTGAAGAAGGTAAAGGCGCGTCCTTGAAAGCCATTCTACAGGCATTGCAGTCGAACATGAGTGGTGGGAGAGTTCTCCCTGGGAAAATAGCAGCTTCTACCGACGAAGGATCTGAGAGCTCCATTGGTCACGCTCGGGATAATCGCCACTTCGAATTGCAAACGCCTACAGCAGCCGGTGGTGATATCGATGACAATGAACTTCCATTGTGCCCAAGACACTGGCTCAAAATTATACATGCATACGACATGCCACGCCTGACTTACAACATCGACAAGAAGTACTTCGAGTCCACCACATTCAAGCCAACTTTATTCCCGCCTCCTAGTCATAGGACGGCTCTGTTCCGCGATCGCTATAATGTTGTGTACCAGCGGTTACTACGAAACGAATCCTTCCAGTCGTCTCCAGGGATATCCACTGGTTCGTCTCTGCAGCAACGGTCATCTTTTGCTCCGAATCAGTGTTACAAACTCACTCCGATTGCAAATCTTCTTGGAAGAAGCGGTACATCACACCTTCTGCTTGGACTGCTTTCCACCTCCCCTACAGGCGACCTCTCCCTAGCCGATCTCACGGGGAGCATTGCTTTGGATCTGAGTCATGCGCGGACGATACCTGAAGACGGGGCTTGGTTCGCACCAGGCATGATTGTTCTCGTCGACGGAATCTACGAAGAAGAGGAGAATGTTCGAGGATCAACACTTGGTGGAAATAGTGGAATCGGTGGGTCTATAGGGGGTAGGTTTGTTGGTGTCTCTATCTGTGGGCCCCCGTGCGAACGACGGGACACTTCACTGGGGACGAATAATCGACAGAACAGTAAAGAGATCAGCTCTAGCGGGGGCCTTGGGTGGATTGACTTCCTGGGAGTTGGCAGTGAACGCGCTCGTGGTCCCCGAATGAGGCAGATCCAGACTCGGTGTCTACAAAAGAAACAAGACGATAGCCAAGAGACAGCATCTTCCGTCAAGATGGCAATAATGAGCGAGGTGAACTTGGACAACATGAAAACCCTGGATGCTCTGCGCAAGGTATTCAGCATCTACAATGATCAGGCACCGGGTGGTCGCCCAGTACTCTTTGTCCTGATCGGTAACTTCGCTCAGACAGCCATAGTAAATGGCGGCGGTCAGGCTGGGAGTATCGAATATAAGGAGTACTTTGATGCACTTGCCGTGGTCATGTCCGATTTCCCAGCATTGCTGCAGTGCTCTACATTCATCTTTGTCCCCGGTGATAACGATCCCTGGTCGTCGGCCTTCTCAGCTGGCTCCACATCTACAATCCCGCGCCCGCCGATTCCTGATCTGTTTACGTCGCGGATCAAACGTGCGTTCGCTACGGCCAATGCCGAGCTAGATCGATCTCAACGGTCGGAGCCACCCGGCGAAGCATTATGGACATCCAACCCGTCTCGCATCTCATTGTTTGGGCCGGTCCATGAGATCGCCGTATTTCGTGATGATATCTCAGGAAGGCTCAGGCGTACCGCTGTGAGCACGCAGCAACGCGCTGATAGCTCCAGTACAGCCATGGACGAAGACCAGAACGAATCCACTAACGGGGCCGACGCTGACTTTCCCGGAGTAAACTCGGGTGCTAACCCGAATTCCACCTCGTCCAGAGTCTCGATGAGCAGGAAACTTGTCAAAACGATACTGGACCAAGGATCAATGGCGCCTTTCCCGCTTTCTTTGCGGCCTGTCTTGTGGAATTATGCGTCCTCGCTACAACTATATCCATTGCCGACTGCCCTCGTCTTAGCGGACGCGGAGGCAGCTCCTTTCTGCATGAGCTACGAAGGTTGTCACGTTATGAATCCTGGAAAACTAGTTCCTGACGGTGGCGTGTCTGCTGTCCGCTGGATAGAGTATGATGCCGTGAAAAACCGAGGAAGGGTGAAAGAAGAGCGTTATTAAAGCACATATAGAGCCAACGGGATTACGATAATGATGATGATGATTATTTTCATAGATACATAGATATCTTTTTTGAAACCTTAGCTTATCTTGGCTCCTTTCAAGGTACTCTAGCGTTCAATTACAGGAGGTTCCTTGGTGGTAACATACCAACTTCGGAATGAGTTTTGACATGATACCTACATGGCTTCTATATAAATGAGGTTTCCTCCGCTAAATGTATCCTAAGATGTGTGCTTCAAGTACCATCAGTGGTGTAGTCCCATAAACTTCATTTCGTAGTAATCGACATTATATAAGGGACATCACGCAGTAGTTCATGGGGCATCTGCTTTTGGATTGACATATTCACATGAGTTAAGGATTGGGAGCTAACAAATATAGCTTATGAGTCTCAAGCACTGGTTGCTGCTAAAAGGGCAGTTGAACTCAGTCAAGCCCCAAGAAGGTAACCAAACACCAAGGCCATGATAAAAATCGTAGTTATCATGCAACTGGAAGTACAAGATTAAGTACATACATCGGCTTTATAGTGAAACTGATGGGGAAAAAATCAACACCTCACCACCCAAAAAAGAAACAGCCGCTAATATATGCAATAGAAAGCTTCTTTAGATCAATCGCCACCGGGTTGGAAAAAAACAAAAAGAAAGACCCGATAGAGAAAATCAGTCAATCATGATAAAATCAGCGTTTTGTGCTGCGCCGCCAGCTTTGGCGCTGGGCCCTGTGGCGGTGATGGCATTACCGCCAGGACGAGCCGGACTTATGAGGCTGTTGTTCCCATTAGGCTGCGCTGCTGCCAGTGGCAGACTTGGGTCCTTTGGATACTTGAGTTCTCCGCCCGGGCCCGAAGACGTGGCGGTACCTAGGACACCCTGGTTGCCGTGGAAGATCTTGTCAACTTGCGCGATGAGGTTTCCGACTTTATCGAAATCTGCGACGGCGCCGTTCCCAAGCCCTTTCCAGCCCTCTCCTTTGGAATCGTACAGCTCCGACTTTAATCTGGTTCTCAGCTGTTCTTGGTGATCTCCGCCTTGACGCCCGCTTGCGTCCTTGAGTATCCACGCCATGCGGCCGAGATATTGGCCTGCCAGTAGTTGGAAGCGGCATTGGTGACCAGGGTAATGGATGCGGAAGTTTCTCGCATTGCGCACAATCACCTGTACTTTCATCATATCTTTGCGAGACGGGTTTGCTGTGATTTGGTCCAAAGCCAGCATCAAAGGGAGAGTGAGCGACAGCAAATCCGAGACGCTGTCCAGGCCTGCATCGGCAGTAGAGGCTCGGTTCAGCATATCGGCAAGAGAGGCTTGGATACGACGGTGGGGATTTGGGAAAGGTAGTTGAATGTTGAGACGAAGCTGAGACGGAGCTTCTGCTCGGGCCCTCGATATTCCCATCTCGATGTTCGCAGCAAGATTCCTCCCAGGGCCATAAGCAAATGAGATACCGGAGAGCGACAACTTTCGAAGTTCCATTTTCTTCGCCTGGAGGGTGTCTACCATTGACAAAACGCACTCGAGTCTTTGTAGACTTTCAAAGAGCTCCAGTATGATGGGACTGCCCACAGGAGCAAGCAAACGGATTGCAAATCCACTGCCTTTCTTTTGAAAGGTCACCGAGTGATCCCACTTCGAAGGAAGTGTGCCAGACATCTTGACCGGATTTGATAAGGTCCCATAAGCAACCATGATGGCGACCTTCTTCCGAGGATCGATCCCGTGGAAGGCAATGCGGACAGTATCCTTAATAAAATCCCTCTTCTTGAACCAAGAAGGCAACGATACCTGCAAGCCATGTGGAACATTGGATGTATCGTACTTCACATAGATGTCTGGCACTTTCAGGTCCGAGCCGATCCTCAGCCTGTGTAGATTGGGATAAAAATTGATGCTCTGGAATCCCGCCAGACAAACCGCGTTAGCATATACTGCCAAAATCCCAGATAGGCAATGTCCCAGATCTGCAAGCGATGCATAGCTATTCCCATAATCCACAGGGAATAGTGTACTGCTGACTGGCTGGGCTGAATGCAGGGTCGATGGACTGTAGATGTCTGGGTTCAGAACTGAGTGATGTCGAGGGGAGGGTGCTGACTGAACATGCACGATCCACCAGCTGTCGCCATCCACGCTACTCGTGGCCGCGATCATCCAATCCCGGTTCCAGAGATGGTGTGAAAAGAAAGAAAACTTCAGGACATTGGGTGGGAATATTTTCCGGAAATCGATCATCAGTCCCCTAGGACTGACTGGATGAAATCCAAACATCTTAACACTCGATTCGACTTGTTCAATTGCGGAAACGCAACGGAGCCGAGAAACCCGAGAGACGATATCGTCGACAGGCGTTCTGTCTGAGCCGCGGTCGCCATCGGGACGCTCAGATGCATTTGGGGTCGTCGACAGTATGATCGCTCCTGACATTGGTTCAATGGAGACCCGGGCATGCCTCGACGTTGTGAGTTGAACATCAAGTTGGCAATCTCCAGGCTCCGTTCCATCTACCTGCGCCCGCAAAGACAAGGTGCCGGCAGCAAAAAGCGACGCTTTAATGATCCTGTCATAGGCTGAAGACAATATATGAGATATGTGCAATGCAATAGCGCTTCGCAGGATGTGCTCCATAGAAAGGTTCGCCGCATCAAACTGGATCTCTTCACTATCGGCTTCTTGGCCATCCCTCAGCCAACGCAGACCAAGATAGGGTAGGCCAGGGCCATGACCTTCTGTCTTGCGTCGACCACGCTTGACGCCGATTTCCAGCCAACTTTTAGGGCCAGGCTTGAGAGCCCAGTATTGCACGACCAGCGTTCGATGCAATAGCTCAACGTGCAAGATATCTGTCCAGAGGCCTCTTGCTAGTTGAACAGCTTGCTTGAAGAGTATATTGACTTTATTTGTCAACACCAAGCTATGCAAGAAATGGAAGCATCCTGCCAGACCATCGTTTCGCAAGATATCATTGATTCTGATATCAAGCTCGTTGAACACTCGACCGCTGGGAATTGGCGACGACGGAGTGAATAAAAAGCGCACATCGACGAAATAGAACTGGGATAGTTCACTTTCCTCTCCGATTGACAGATCAAGTTCAAATTCCCCGGGCACGGAAAACGTGACCCTGCCGTCGTGAACATGGTAAGTCCTGAGAAACGAAGGGACAGCGTCATGTAACGCTAGCCTCACGCTTATAATCCGATTGATCTTCTTGAGCCGTTTCAAAGCACCTTTCGCTGTCAGTGGCCTAGGAGGTTTATACCCTAGCTGTAAAAAGATCAGTCACAGATCGAATTTGCGAAGCAAGCAGGACGGGGTGATTTACATCCGACATTGAAACTACTTGGCCCTTCGACAATACTTCCAATGCTGTTTGAAGATCCGGATTGGCCACTTGAGCTTGAACTAAATCCCGTTTCATATCCCCAATCGACTGTAGAGCGCCAACGTAGGCTTGGTGGCGTATGCGGATGAAATTTTGAAGGTCAATCAATTTACTGACATCGGCCGCTTGTCGACTCCATCGCGATAGGACAAGAAGTTTGATGAATTCCGCCCGCTTCGCATGAGCAAAATTCAGTACCCGAAGTTTCTTTTGGAGATTCTCCGGGCTCTGGTTTCCCGGTGTCTTGCCATTGAGAATTGATGTTGGTGAGCCTGACCCTTGTGATGGTACCTGAACTTCAGCCAGCTCTGTTATTAACTCGGATAGGTCGTTCCAGCATTGTTGCACCGAACGATTTATCAATGTGGAAAATGGGAAGAACCCCTGGGTTATATGCAATAACTCTGGCGGGGTTTGAGCTGACACAGCCGGGACGACTGCCGCTTTGTGGTCCTGGTCGTCCATTCCTCCGTTGACGTGAAATGAGCCGTTCTGAATGTTTCCTGTACTGCCAGGCGAATGTGCAATGCCATTCCTGGAGTCCTGTACATCTGCCCTCGGCTTGACTCCACCGGCATTGACATTATCCATGACGACCCCCGGCATGTCTGAATGTGATTCGGCGAGTGACTGTCAAAGTTCTCCTCCTTCACCCCCTCTGACCAGCACCCGGGCAGAGGCAGACCAACGGGCGCCGAGGTGAAAAAGGAGAGCTGGCAATATTCCCTGTCCGACTGGGAGCCTTGTTGTTAGGCCATGTGTAATCAAGAAGGCGTACAATATTAGCCTCAGACGAAATCTTTCTGTGGTTGTTCCAGCCCGCGCAATATCAGGTAACGCGAATAACCCAACGGCAGGCGCATTAAACCGCGACAGTATTTCTCTTTTCAGCAAGTCATCGAATTGACCGTATTGCGAGCTACCTCAAAAGAGTAATAAGCATTCAACCATTCGCCCCCGATTTCGATCTCCAACCACTCCGGCGATGTGTGTTGCTGGTCGGAAAAAACGAAGTCGCAAAACGGAGAGGGCGACGGAGGGCAACGGAGAGCGACGGCGGAGAAGGGGATGGTGTCAAGGTTTTGCGATGATTATACCGGGATGGAAGTGCCAGAGAGGTTATAGAGAGGACCCTAATATGGCAGCTAACAAAATGTCCGGTGTGTTTGGCAATATGGCAATGATAGAGTGGGTGATGAATGAAGCTTGCGCAAAGCCATGCAAATGCGTGAGAGCGGAAGAGCCCGAGAGCAGCCTCAGGTTGACCAGGCAGATTGTCCGCCTGGCCGCTGATTGGTGGGTGGAGTTTCAGCCTTGGTGCCTTACATAGTCAATTAAGCTCGTAATAAATACTTGTAATTACCAGCAATATATGTACTATACCGCTACACTATGTATACCCACGCCATAGTGAAGCTCAGAAGCTCATCCAGATCTACGGAGTAAAGAGAGGACAATTGAAATTTATCATATGCATTTGATAGATATCAAGTGACTATACGCTCAGAACTAGTTCATCCTATTATCTTTTGGATACTAGGGTACCTAGGTTAGTACTCCGAAGCACAAATTCTGATGTCTACATATTGATATGTATACTCTATTAGAATAGTTAGTTGGGCGTAACTATGTACCACTGAGTGTTGATCATTATCCTAGGTACTCACCTGCCCACCAACGTGGTTTCTCTTCCCAGGTTACCAGGTAGTATATCCGGATGAAAATGGATTCTGTTGTTGATCCGGTGACGTATCTGCTTATCTGTTTCCAGGCTGTACCGAGTAGCATACAAAAGTTACCCCTAGTAATCATATTGACGCGGCGTCCTCTCTCCGCCATTCTCTCTCTTCCACCACGATTTCCAGTCTATCGACTTTCCTTGAGGGTCGAGGATGTAAATTGTTCGTCGCTCATCTGGTACCAGTATGCCGACAAGCCAGATGCCTGGGATAAGCTCTCGAGCTTCCCAGCACCCGGGCGATGACACTCGGCCAACGAGCAAGAAGGAGCTTGCTGGGTGGTATAGCTATGGATGGGCAGCCGAGGTCTTCACCGTGTGCGCGATGGGTAAGTTGATCTTTCAATAGCTCCAAATTTACTCCAGTTGTTGATCGTTATTCTTCAGGGTCTTTCCTCCCCATCACCCTAGAGCAGATGGCTCGAGACCGTGGCGTCCTCCTGTCAGATAAAAGGACTCCATGTAGCACTACTTGGCACGGTTCAGGAACATCAGCCATGGACCGTGATACTCTGACCTCCGTGTCCCGTACAAGCCAATGTGTGGTGGATGTCCTTGGATTCGAAATCAACACAGCTAGTTTCGCCATGTACACTTTCTCGCTCAGTGTCTTCGTGCAGGCGATTCTGATAGTATCAATGTCGGGCGCTGCGGACCATGGAAACCATCGCAAGATGCTCCTGGTTACGTTTGCACTCATTGGCTCTATTGCTACAATGCTCTTTCTCTCAGTAACACCTAGCGTTTATCTTCTCGCCAGTTTATTCGCAATTGTGGCGAATACCTGCTTTGGGGCGTCTTTTGTCCTCTTAAACTCATTCTTGCCTCTTTTAGTCCGACACCACCCCTCTCTGTCCGAAGAAAATGATAACGAAGTGGCCCCGTCAAGCTCGGCTGGATCCGATACTCATGGAGCAAATAACTCTCGCCATATTGGAAGCGACGAAACGGCACTATTGCTGCAGCCTGATCGTGTTGATCACGGGGCTTCTGTGGGAGCAACAGCCCAACCAACTTCCATGCGTACTTCACGAGAACTATCGCTTTCCACCCGGATATCATCATACGGAATCGGTATTGGGTACATCGGTTCGGTGATACTCCAGGTAATTTGCATCCTTGTCGTCATAAAAACCAATCAAACCACATTTTCACTGCGCCTCGCCTTGTTCCTCATCGGACTTTGGTGGTTCAGTTTCACCATCCCAGCTGCCCTTTGGCTGCGCCCTCGGCCTGGGCCACCGATACCACTCTCCGGGGACGGGAAGCAAAGCTATTCATGGCTCAAGTATATAATATATGCCTGGAAGTCATTAGGTCGAACGGCCTTACGGGCCCGACGCCTAAAGGACATCTTGTTATTCCTCGCGGCTTGGTTCCTCCTCAGTGACGGAATAGCTACCGTGAGTGGAACCGCGGTTCTCTTTGCAAAGACACAGCTTCAGATGCAGCCTGCCACCTTAGGGTTGATCAATGTGATTACAATGGTTGCAGGAGTTCTGGGCGCATTTTCCTGGAGCTATGTATCGCGAGTCTTCGGTCTCCGTGCATCACAGACTATCATTGCATGTATCATGTTGTTTGAGCTTATCCCGCTCTATGGCCTCTTGGGGTTTATCCCAGCCGTGAAGGACTTGGGGTATCTTGGACTTCAACAGCCCTGGGAAATGTTCCCGCTGGGGGTCGTGTATGGTCTTGTCATGGGCGGGCTGTCATCATACTGTCGAAGTTTCTTTGGTGAGCTGATCCCCCCGGGCTATGAAGCGGCTTTCTACGCGCTCTACGCCATCACCGATAAGGGCTCAAGCATCTTCGGTCCCGCTATCGTGGGCATTATCACGGATCGCTACGGCGATATTCGACCAGCGTTTCTATTTCTGGCGGTCTTGATCGGATTGCCCCTGCCGCTCATGTTCCTGGTGGATGTAGAACGGGGCAAGCGTGACGCGCTTGGATTATCCGCCGACCTAGATGGCAGACAGGAGACGGGGGCTCCTGGCTACGGAACGATTTCCCACGTCCCACCTGACTCCGACCGTGTCGACGCTGCGGTAATGGAGGACTGAAAATGGTGAAAGAGGACCCTCCACGATGAATTATGTTCTTCTATGATTGTTATTGTACTGCATGTAGCGCTGTAAGGTACCGGGTAGTAAATGTCCATGCGACCGGTTATGAATACTAGTTATCTTGCATGCATAGGTGTTTCTGGGTTGCTCTAACACCATCACTTTGCATTCTTCCCATTTTCTTGCACTCTTCACCTCTAATCATATTCATTGTTTGAAGAACCAAGCACTTGTGTCCCACCAGCTCACCAGACAGTCTTACAGTGTGTGGCTATGTTCCTCTGTTGAGGTAACGTGTCATTTTCCTTAGACAAAAGGTGAGGCTCTTGGATGCATTTGTAGGTACATACAGGTCCCCCACACACGACACGCTAAGGAAGTAATCATCCTTGGTATGCCCGAGGAGTCTCCGGAATGAAGAGACAAACCAGGGTTGGCTCTGGGTCTGACTAATCAGCAATAATGAAAGTTGTGTACACCTGGCCGGAGAGGCTGATATATAAATAGTATCGACTTTGTTTTTGATTTGTGCCCATCCGGCCCGTCAGCCCCAGACGATCCAATCAATCACTATAAATAACCATAATAATTGGCCCCTTCGTAGGCTGACCACAGGGAGGCTGAGTTCATGATGTTTGTTTGGAGGGGGCTGATGGGTCGGTCGATCTTGGTTCGTGATTATGGACAGGTACCACTAGTACTAATCAATATCAACAGTGAATCACTGAGTGGGGGGGGGATGGGGGGATCCCTTGCTGCCCCGGAGCCAAAGAGCCAGTGAGGAGGCGCTAGAGCAGCTGACTGTAGAAAGAACAAACTGTCCTCAACTCCGCTGCATGGCTGGCTCATCACCTACTTAATTAACGGAGCTGCTTCCTCTTCTTCTCCTGCTCCTCTTTTTTACTTTTCTGCTCCACTCCATCCTAACACATCTCTAGAACCTTGGTGAGGACGGGTGAATTCATTTGTATTTTATCCACTTTGTTTAGCTTCCTTCCTTCTTTCTGTACACCGTCCGAGGTTTTTCTAAGCCGGACAGAACACAATGCGGTCTGTCGCGCCCTTTCTCCTCAGCCTGCTGAGTGCCACTGCGGTGGTCTCGGCGGCCGACGACCAGCCCGAGGTCAAGTCGGATGTGGTCTCTCTCACCAAGGACAACTTCGACGAGTTCATCAAGGAGCATGACTTGGTCCTGGCCGAGTTCTACGCTCCCTGGTGTGGTCACTGCAAGGCTCTGGCCCCCAAGTACGAGGAAGCTGCCACTCAGCTGAAGGAGAAGGACATCGCGCTGGTCAAGGTTGACTGTACCGAGGAGGAGGAAGTGTGCCGTGGCCTGGGTGTCGAGGGTTATCCCACCCTGAAGATCTTCCGTGGTCTTGATGATGTGAAGCCTTACCAGGGTGCCCGCCAGGCGGATGCGTAAGTTTGCCGTGTTCTCTGCTGTGGAGTGAACCCCCGTTGCTAATGTCGTGATTGCTGTAGGCTCGTGTCGTACATGGTCAAGCAGTCCCTCCCCGCAGTTTCGACCGTTACCGAAGACAACCTGGAGGAGGTCAAGACCCTGGATAAGATCGTGGTCATCGGCTACATCGACTCCGAAGATAAGAGCAACACCGAGGCGTTCACATCCTTTGCCGAGTCCCAGAGGGATAAGTACCTCTTTGCGTCGACCGATGATGCCGCCCTCGCCAAGGCTGAGGGTGTCAAGCAGCCCTCTCTGGTTCTGTACAAGGATTTCGATGAGAAGAAGGCCGTCTACAAGGGTGAGATGGAACAGGACGCTATCTTCAACTGGGTGAAGACCGCCAGCACTCCTCTTGTTGGTGAGCTCGGCCCCGAAACCTACTCCGACTACATCACTGTAAGTGTATACCCGCTATCCCTCTCGTCGCGTCTCTGCTGGTCTCTCGAACACGCGGTTGTCGCGACGGAGACTAAATCTGCAAATCGGGGATCTAACATCATATCCTATCCAGGCCGGCATTCCTTTGGCCTACATCTTCGCCGAGACCCAGGAGGAGCGTGAGAAGTACGCCGAGGACTTCAAGGCCATCGCCGAGAAGCACAAGGGTGCCATCAACATCGCCACCATTGACGCCAAGATGTTCGGTGCTCACGCCGGCAACCTCAACCTCGACCCCGAAAGGTTCCCTGCCTTTGCCATCCAGGACCCCGAGAAAAACGCCAAGTACCCCTACGACCAGTCCAAGGAGATCAAGGCCAAGGACGTTGGCAAGTTCATCCAGAATGTTCTCGAGGGCAAGGTGGAGCCCAGCATCAAGTCGGAGCCCATCCCTGAGACCCAGGAGGGCCCTACGACCGTCGTCGTGGCGCACTCGTACCAGGACCTCGTCATCAACAATGACAAGGACGTCCTGCTCGAGTTCTATGCCCCGTGGTGCGGCCACTGCAAGGCGTAAGTTGTCCATTTCTTCCAATCTACACGTTACCATACAGCTGTCTAATCGATTCCCGAACAGTCTCGCTCCCAAGTACGACGAGCTTGCCACCCTCTACGCTGACTTCCCCGAGGTCACCATCGCCAAGATCGATGCGACCGCCAACGACGTCCCGGACTCCATCACCGGGTTCCCCACCATCAAGCTCTACCCCGCCGGCAGCAAGGACTCGCCGGTTGAGTACTCCGGCGCTCGTACCCCCGAGGCCCTTGCCGACTTCATCAAGGAGAACGGCAAGCACCAGGTTGATGCCCAGGCCGCTGCCGAGAAGAAGGCAGAGGAGGGTGGTGAGGATGCGGCCGAGAGTTCGTCTGCCTCGAGCAGCGAAGCTCCCGCCGCTACCGGCGACCATGACGAGCTTTAAACGCTTGATCACGATGATGAAATCTAGTTCCTGAATGATACTGTAAACTATCGATTTACCGCATTGTCCTTGTTTGTCCCACACATGTATCTGTCTTGAGTCAAGTCAGTCGTAGCCAATCTAAATTCTGCCTACTATAATCCACACCGGAAGCAGTCAGTTGTATACTGTGTAGATTGTGGCTCGCCGAGTGAACATATTGTCCCCGACATGACCAATTGAATACACAGGGTCAAGACCCATACAGAAGCCTAACGGGTAGTATACTTAAAGAGGGTAGTAGATCGAGTTATCCTACGGGCGCGCACATGACTTCGAAGGTAGAATGTAAAATGCACCAATAAACTCCGAGCTTCATTATGTTACAAAAACGACTGGGACATACACTCCATGCCGAGGAAGGTATGGTATGATCGACATAAAACAAGGTGACCATGGATCCTACCTAGCTCAACGCTGGCTCCCTCATCAGAGCTTCAAGGACGTCGGGATCCTCTTGAAAAACGTCATCATCGTCTTCAAACTCATCGGCAACCTTGACCAACTCCGCCGCTTTCGACACAGTAGATGTTTTCTGCGGTTGTGGTTCCGTCTTCTCCGCGGGACGTTTTGTTTCCTCGACGAGGACCGAGGGGCTTTCGATGTCGGGAGAGGGCATGTCCGTCTTTTCTTTAGACGTCAGACTCCAATCAATGACGCCATCCGCGCCGTAGCGTTCTGCAAGCCACTCGTTGGTTTTCTTGAAATGTCCGTTGTCGAACTACACCAACCAACCACGAAGTCTCTATTAGTGACCAACGCCCAACGCAGAGTAATGCCGTTCATTCCGGTAGTATAGGGAAGGGTTGTACTTACAAAGCCGCGATGAGCGCTGAGCGGGCTGGGATGAACCGACTGCAACACGCAGTGTTTCTGACGGTTGACGCCCGCCACGCGATTGCCGGCTGGTTTGCCCCAGGCGAGGAAGACGACGCCGCGGGTTCGCACGCGGGCCACGGCGTCGATGGCCTTCTGGGTGAAGCGTTCCCAGCCTTTGTTGGCGTGGCTGTTCGCCTGGTGTGCGCGAACGGTCAGGCAGGTGTTGAGCATCAGGACGCCGCGGTCTGCCCAGGGCGTGAGAAGACCGCCTTTGTTGGGCGGGGGCTGGAAGGACGGGTAGTCAACCTTGATGCCGCGGTAGATGTTGACTAGCGATGGCGGGGCGGGCGTCGGGGGGCGGACGGAGAAGGCTAGTCCGTGGGCCTGGTTGTGGTTGTGGTAGGGGTCCTGGCCGACGACGACCACCTTGACGTTGTGTAGGGGCGTGTGACGGGACCTGTGTAGAGCGTGGTCAGTGCCTGTTGTTGACTCTAGGGATTCATGAGGGGCCAGGAACACCGTACCAGGAATAGATTTCGTTCTCGGGAGGGAAGATCTGGGCCCCGGACTTCTTTTCCTTCAGGAGAAAGCGTTTCAGGTTCAGGAATTCCGGAGATACCAGCTCCTCTTTGAGCTGGACCAGCCAGCTATCATGCAATGTGTCGATCTCCAGCTGCAGGAGCTCTTTTTGCTCCGGTGTCAGAGACGCTATCCATTTCTGCTTGGCACTTGATAGAGCCGGACTCGGTGGTTTTGATTCGGCGGGTTTGGATTTCGGGGCGCCGAAGAAGGAGGTGATGCTGCCGTTGGACTTGGGTTTCTTTGCATCGGCCGCTGAGCTCGTTAAATGATTAGCGCCCCGTTTCTGGCCCGCAGGGTTGGTCATGTTGGCAAGATTCAGCTGGGGGTGTCCAATGGTCTTTTTGGCCGGACAGTAACCAATTGGCAGAAATTGATAAACCAAGCGTTCTTCAGGATAATGATTGATTAACACTAGGAAATTGATAATGACGATAGTGGACCTCGATGATAACGCGGCACAGCACCCAGGTAAAAGCGTCAGAATAGACACAAAAAAGACCAGAGTCAAAAACCACAGGAACGTAAGTGTGCAGACAAGGGATGATAATAGTCGATAAAGGAAATATCATCACCAAATGCAAACGAACAGGTCAAATCCAGAACGGACCTTGAGCCATCATTCTGCCCGCACGCGCCAGACGCGTCGCCACGTGAGACGCGTTGGGACCTCTTCCGCACAACGGCACTAATTGGAGCATAACTGTCAGTATACCCCAGTCTTAGATAATCCTGGAAGGCCAAGCGTCTTGAGATGGCCGATCAATCGAAATCAGAGTGCAATGCATTTATAGATGTATGGAGTAGTCTTTCTATCGACTGGGCAAGGTTTCAGATCATGATGACTTGGGTCTGTACTGAAAAGTACGCATGAAATTCTCGATTGGTGATTATTGGAGTCAAGTATCTATAAGCATGATGTATCTTATCTCCATTTTCTGAATGTATAAGCACGATATTTAATGACTATAGACAGCATCTTGATATTTCTGCCACTTTTCTTCCCCCCCAGTCACACTTCCTCCACTCTAGTACATACTCACACAAACCCGAAAAACCTCGCCTGGAATACTCCCCGGCGCACCCCGTAAAACCCTCACCGAAGCACTGTTCGGAGCCAACATATATCGGTCACACCTCTCAACCTGCCTCCTGTCATATGGAAAAGGATGTTCTGTATTATAACAACCTGGATCATAGGGATTCCTCCCATCAAACACTGTTTGCTCCGGGTATCCTCTATGCGCAGCAAGTTTCACATAATATAGGACAGTATTCTGCGTAATACGACTCTCCACGGCAGACTTCTGGAGGTAGATCGTGAACACCGTTTGCCGGCCGCATTGGAGTTGCAGGTTGAGCCAGATTAGGTTCTGAGCGTTGAATTCTCCTTGTTTGTCAAGGCGGAAGTGGGAACATGACACGAGCGTGCGCGCGGTACCATGGAGATTCGGGAGTTTCCCATCCTTGTGGAGGGAGGGCTTCGGTCCAATCTTTCAGTAGTTCCATCTTGGTGCTCCCGAGTTTTTGCATCCATTCATTCTCAACAGTGCTCAGCATTGTGTTGAGTTTCTTTCCTTCTTTCTTTTGGAGAGGGTTTGGGGTTAGGGAATGGCAATTCAATGAGATATGGCCTGGAAATTGATATATTCAAGAGAGACCAGCTAGAGAATAAGAGGACAAGTTCCCTGTTATCTTCTAGCACATGGTCTCCTTCTCCAGTAAAAAGATAGCAGTCATTATAGTATTGTTGGATCTTTCACTTGGGTCTTACCACTAGTTTGAATTATTCCTAGTGCAGTAGAAAGTGATTATATTTATTATTATAATTACATCCTACAAGTGTCCAATTATTTATATTAGGTACTCTGTATATACCACACTACTTTTGAACACTGTTTACTATACAGTCTCACTCGCCGCTTGATAGTACACAATATGACTATCCAAATATATGGTACAAAAGAGATATAAACAACAAATACTTTTGTAGTAGCATGAATAAGCTATACATAGATAATCAATATTCTGAATCTTAGTCTTTCCAAAAAGTATTGGTTATATTCTTTTTCGATAAGTAAACAATACAAAACATTATGATTTTGATGTAACTTACAAAACTTGGAGAAATAATGATTTTAAAGGTTATACTTATAAAATAAATGAGCATATTACTTTCTGAAGCTATACTTTTTTATCTTCACTTCTATAAATAACTAGTTGTTGAGATCTAAGTATAAAATGGACATTTCATATACAATACAGGAAACTACGTTATGAGCCATGACGGAAAGCTGACGTGGTATATAAACTACAGTAGAGTGGCAAGGATTGCCCCCAGAGATCCGCCCCTTGCCCGCCCCGATCCGTACTAAATTAGGATCACAAGCAGGCTACCTCCAGAGTCTAAATGGGATGAGAAGTGCAAGTGTAAGAATTGATAACCCAGTCAAGGAGAGTGGCAGGATTGGCCCTGGTCCGCCCCAACTGCTCTGGACGGGGCACCTATACCTAAATATATTACCAGCTCCGAAGATTTGTATCTTTTATCTTATCGGTTTGACGACACAGGATCTCTTCTCTCACCATCCTTCAGCCAAAGAGTTACAAGCTATGCTACTCAGCGCCTCTCCGTCTAGCCAATTAATAGCCTAAGAAAACCATCGCCGCATAATTATCAATTGATATGGAGCTTACTTGGCTTGCCGATGTGCCTCAAGCACGGCGCCGTACAAGAGCTGTACGGGCTTGCGCCGCATGTCAACGACGAAAGGTGTGTCTGCACAGGTTGCTTCTTTCCCCTAAGTAATGAGAATATCTTGTGCTGACCCAAGCTGTTTTTTGGTTAAAAGAAACGCTGCCGTCACTTGGGCATGGGCATCAATGGTTCGAGCCAAAATCAGAGTCACAATCCACCCCGTCCCAGTGGAGGCGTATCCTCAGTATCTGATCAGCAATCCACCCCCAAGACGCCCGCCCCAGATGCTCCAGATGTCTGCCGAGCCGAACGTTTCGTGGGAAACCTCAACCCAGAAGCTTTGATCCGTGAGGAGCTTGACGCCACATCTGTGGGTCAACTCCGCGGTCGAATTGGTCTTTGGGTAAGCTCTCCAATGCCACCTGACAATGTCGGTGACAACGGTGGATCACCTAGACCAAGTGCGGCCTTGTCAGATCATTTGGATGGAACAACACCTCCTGCGACACAATCTGTAGCATCCGTGTTGCAGCAGCGGTATGCGTCGGCCGTTAGAGCCTGTGAGCGTCTTCCGCGTTCGACCCGTGATCATCTTCTCCGTGTTTATTTCTCAAGAGTAAATCACCTTCTCCCTCTGGTCGATGAAGACACTTTTCTCCGGGCCTACTCTGGGGAAATGGCCTCTGTTTTTCTAGAAAGGGCGATATGCCTTGTTGCAGCGAAGGACGCTGCCGCTACGTCTTCCCTCCGCTTGGTCACAGATGGTCCGCTTTTGACGCCCCGACAATTCTGTTCAGACGTTTACAACGGCCTCGTCGCCGCCATAGACGCCGGACTTGAGCCAGATCGGATCACACGAATCCGTATCCTCGCGCTGATGTCCTTACACAGCGAAGGATACGAGGGCGCAGAGGCGGCTTCTATGCACATATGCCACGCTATTCACCAAGCCCAAACGGCGGGTCTCCACCTCCACAGCCAGCCAGGCACGGTCCTGGGCGAATCAAAGTTCAATCTCTTTTGGTGTCTATGGACCCTGGACAAATTACACGCCTGCATAGGTGGCCGTCCTGTTCTGCTTGCGGACCGTGACATTGGACTCGAAAAGCCACATGTGACAAACTCTCATTCCAGATCCGCCTTTGAGGTTTGGTTCGCGATTTCAGACTTACTTGCGAGCATTATATCGCTCTATAGACCCAACGCGGATGACACTATTGGTTGGCTAGGGGACTTCCCGGCCTTCGAAGAAATGATGGGTGACGACATCCGTGCGGACTTGGACTTTGCTACTCTCGGTATGTTCTTGTAATCTGATTCTGCCCTCCTTCACGAAAGAAGGTAGTCTCTTTTGACCGTAGCTGAACTAGCGTCTCAGGGTTTTTGGAGCTGTACTACAATGCAGCTGTCATCCTTTCGTGCAGATACCACCTGTCCGACCACCCCGACAGCTCTAACCCTTCATATATTCGCCAAGGTCTCGCTGCTATAAGGATACAGTCGATTGTCGCCACCGAATGCTGTCAGAACCTTAGCCCTCTTCCTGTTGTACCGTATGCCTTGGCTCTGTCGATGGCCGTTGCATACCAGCAGTTTCGCTCGAGTAGACTCATCACCCATTCGGATCGCGCTAAGGCTAGTTTGGACGTTTGTTGTTCCCTTCTTGAAACACTCGGCATTTGCTGGTATTCTGCAGAGGCAATGGCGAGACTGGGAAGGAAGGCGCTACATCAAATTGGCTGGATGAAGCTACAGCCGCAGAATCGGCATCAGTGTCTGGAGTCCAGACACTCGTTACCAGACACATCGCCCACGCATCCCGGAGACCCAGAGGAGCCTGCAATGGCCCTGCCGTCTCCGCCGTACAAGAACAGCTATCACCACATAGAAGAAGGACCTTCACTATCCACGACAGTACAGGCGGTCTCCCCAAGAGAACCCTCGGATTGGCAGGGAGACCCGCAGGAGAACCCCGAACCTAATGGATTCGCAGATATTGACATGTTCTTTGGCGATTTTCTAGATCTATCCCTACCGACAAACTTCTGGGATCCGGTCTTTCTCTCATAGTCGGCCCGAACTACAAGTCGGCTAGACGATAATGAAACTAACTTGTGGGAGGCAATCCAAGGCGGTCCGGAGTATTGCGATATATATGGAAAGCCGGTCGAGTCTGTATTATGTAATTCGGAACCCCGGTTCTCCGATGGTCTCCCATTTGCTGAATCAATACAGTCTGGGTGGTCCCGACTGCCGATCGTCATCTATGTCCGTCGCCTATCTCGAGGCAAAGCCTCACTGTCCCGGGGGGTAGACTTAAAATGGTTGGAGCTCCCTTCCAACGCCCCCCACTCGCAAGGCTCAGTTACTGCCAACTGGGTCCGGCCACGGTACGCACTGGGCAGAGGTCGGGCTCTTCGCAGCTCCTTGACATGGAGCAGTGGCCCCTCAGTCCAGTTCTCGAACAACTCTGGTTCCAACAACCCAGAATCCATTGCTCCGATTGGTTAGAAGGGCTGGTGCCAGGCGAACCGATACGATCGTCCCAAAACCACTTGGAAATTCAGTGGCCCGACTGCATTGTTGTAACCAGAGGAATTGACAACATGTTGTCGCAGTCCCCACCACCTATCGCAACGTGGACGAGGTTTGTTTCGTGTCACGGTGGTGGAGTTGTTTCCGGCCTGGTTTCGAATCCTGTTGCGAATATCCTGACTGGCATCCATAGGATCAGCCTAACCATGGGAGTCTCGAGCTACATGACGGTACTCGCTCCATCATTCTCCTGATCACGACTAGCCCAATTATTCACCCCTCCCTAGTCTATTATACTGCTTATCCTCTGTAGACCTTCGGCAGCTATGGGGACGGCTGAGTAGAGGGCTAATGAAACAAAAGAAATAAAATCCCGGAAACTAAGACGGAGGATCCCAAATATGGATAGGACAGCGAAACTATCTCGCGTCCCTCGATCCAATCTAGATCTATTTTAGGCCCTGCTGGGTTGTTTTAAGTTGGCCTTAACCCTTTCCCGAGACCTTACTTTCGAAGTCTCGTCGATTTACTCTTGCCTTTCATTGCTGCCGTAGTTGCTATTGTCACCGGCTTCATTCATTCATTTATCTCTTCTCTATATTTCGTTTGATTTTTACTCGCAAGTTCGGCTGGCGCTAGCAATAAAACACCCCTGATTCAACTATAAAGCGTCCGCTCTACTCATCCCTACTACTCCGACCTCGCAGCTTGTATAGCTGCGACAGGTTAATTACTACTAGTACTCACTACCTTGCCCGCATTTACACCCACTATCTATCCACTGCGACTGTCGTACTGTTCTCGCTTCCTACACCCCACTGGGTTTATGGGATAATCACTGCATCAATTGGAGATTTTATAACGACAATAACTCCCCCTCTTTTTTCTAACATAAACTGCGACTCGAGACGGCAATTTTCACTTGGCAGAGTCACTCGCAGTACATCGCATCCCCTATTGGATACTCGGAACGTCTCTTGCTCTATTATCCTTACAGGAGCGAGCGTTCCTTACATACAGCCCCGGAATCTCTTACCACTGCGACTTTTCCCCTCACAAAAAGCAGCTCAAGAGAACATACAAGAGTCTCTGCCACGAGCCCGCCCCCGTGTCCGATGAGGCTTGAGCCTAATGGAGCTTGATTTCATGCAGTTCAAGCGGCGTATCGCCATAAAAGGGAACCTGGACAGCTGCAGCGCAGATTTGATGCGCAGGTAGACCTTTTCGCAACATTTCTGCGGAAGAGGTGCAACAACAAAACACCGCCACAAAAAAAAAAAGGAGACTCAGAGAGAAAGAAAGGAGATAGCAAAAGAATAAGGAGTACCAGCTATACGGGCATTCTCCGCTACTAATCTCTAATCAATGGCGCCCCTAATCCAACACGAGGAGCAACGGGTCCTTCCTGCCGGCGCCACGGGAGGAGATGAGATTTCGTCGGCGGGGAGCCAGCATACTGCTCAATTATCTGTCCACCCGATACCCGAGTTGCAAGGACCGTTTGACGAGTCGATATCAGAGGCTGTTGGAGGTACTGGGAGTAAACGGGTGGTCAATATCGATGCGCAGACACGACGCAGGAATCTTCTCGAAAGCGCCGAGTATGAGCGGCTATGCGGCCGAAAATGGCCTCAACGGGCTGGTGGGAGGTACGTTAGAGAAGCAGTTTACTAACACTCAATTATCCTTTTGTTTGTCTAGACTAATAGGTGTCTAGGTATCATCCGATTTGGAAACTCACCTCGCAGATGTTATTTGGCGTTCACCTCCTCGTAAGAGGGCTTGCGAAATCAGACACCGAGGTGTTGAGGATTCTTCAGATCCACGTGGATGAAGTGGATGGCTTCCTGGGCAGGACGACGGAAGACTTCCTGATCGTCGAGGTCGACGTATACACGCGCATGCAATACCTGAGCCTACCTCTCCAGAATCTAAATACTTTCGATGAGATGCTAGAAGACCGCCTATTTCGCCTTTCCATGCTCGACTACAACGACAAGATTGAGCATGCAATCCAACGTTTCACAGCCTCTATCGACGACAGCCTAAAAGACATCCAGAAAGGAAAAGCGGCTATCAGGGCTCTCTGGAAGTACCTCTACCAAGCAGAAAAGGAGTATGAACTCTCAGGATACATGGCCGCCCTTGTCAGCGCCATGCTATCCAACGCAGAGGGATGGAATGTGGCCTTTTCAGACCTGCGACGCAAAGGACTCAAGCTCCAAGCCGCGCTTGCTAAACTCTCCCTGGCCATCACCGAAATGCAGCGGCGCATAGGGGTAGCGAGTCGCAAGAAACTGGTCCATCAACAGACCGAACGGGGATCCATGCCGATGCCGCGTCTGACTTCGCGGCGGTCTTTCAGTGGGAGGTTTTTCGAGAGACCCAAAACGGCTATTGAAAAGCCTTTACCATGCGATCCGATTCCTTCAAGGTCTGCCAACGGCACGCCGCAGCCTATCGAGAGTCGTGATAGGCAAAGGCATGGTTCGGGGTCCAGAGCAGACAAAGAACCAGCGAGACGCTCCAGCATGAGTGCTTCCCAACCAACAAAACATACAGACAAAGCCACGCACCACGTCAAATCCCATTCATTCATCCCAGGCATGCAGCGGAGCATCGTCAAGCGACTCTCAAAGGCCAAACTAAGCCCAATGACATGCGCAGATGACGAAGTCGACCACCCGCCGAAAAGACCAACGACTGCGCCCTCACCCAGGCGATTAAAGGCGCGGACTATCTCCATGGAACAGCTGAAGTCATTCCGGTACCCCAGAAAAGAACCACACTCAAATCCAATGACACCACCAATGCCAACGCAACACGAACGACAACCCACCGCGTCCCAAACACACACTCGACAAGAGACGATGAAAGACCAGCTCCTCCACTACCTGAAATCAGACCGGGTAGCAGACGCCTGGGAGCACACAGTCCGAAAAGAGAAGAAAGGCATCACCCGGCGTGTCTCACAGATAAAGCTCAACGGCCCACTCAGCGCATTTCGCACGAGGCCATCAACAGCCCTCGGGAGCCCCGGAAAGCCACAGACAACGTATCTGGCAGACGGGTCGAAGATACACACATCGAGCCTTCAGAACGGGCTCGAAGCTTTCGATACTACTACCTACCCGCTGAAGCCAAAGCGCGATGACTCCGCTCCGCGAATACACGTTCTTTCGCTGCAGATGACGCTGGCTCAGGAGTCTGAGCGGAAGGAGAACGGCCACCGGCGCAACAATAGTAATAATACTGAAATCACGTGGGATGCACAGTCTGTTATAACTGCGCTTCCTTCCGTGCCGCCTACTGTAAGTAGAATGCTATACTACACTACACTCTTTGAGACGCAGGCTGACCAGAGATGTAGATACCCGAGGGACCTCCAAAGAGTCGTACACTCTCCGGCTGGAGGCATTAACAGAATTGCATGTCTAGGTGTCTTGGCCGTGTGACGACCTCGAGATGAATATACCAATGGTGCGGGATAGGAGTCAGTTAGGTGTTCTTGCAGCTGGATAGCTTTGGATAGATAGTCAATCGACAAACAAACACCATCTATACTCCGATTATCCATATATGGTAGCGAGATGTTAACATGATTCCCCAATACGTAAATCTAGATACAAAAGGTGGACCGAACAATCCCCCAATGTATCAATCAATCAACTGATGTCTGTCCCTTGCCCCAACGCAGGACTCTGGTCAACAGTTATATGTATCTAAACGATGCATGGACATAAACAGATACAACCATATGGCATGGACATAAGTCCCGCAACATACGGAGTACTACGAACATCAATAGGATTATACAAGATCAGTCACTATATCTGAGCATGACCCGAAGGAAACAATCAACAGCGATGCTCGCCTTCTTCGATGCGCTTTCTTATATTCTTGCCTGTTCTATTCCGAGTGTTGCTTCCCCCGTTTCCTTGACGAGAACTCTGCTTGAATGGGTCATACGCGGAAAGTAAAGTGTTAAGGTAACCGACAACTACGAAATCACCAAGAGAAGGTTGAGTCAACAGGGGAATAATATAACTATACGAAACCAAAATATAAAATGAAAAAGGCGGGGGCTACATATCTAACCCCCGGGGGAAAGAATAATCTATTTGCATCGCTTCTCAACAATATTCGGCCCATGCTCATCATACTCCTTCTTGGAGATCCACATCTGGTGGAAAGTGCCCAAACTAGCCAGGATACTGCCACCAATCCACGAGCCGAACCTCCGCTCGGCGGTGTTTCCAGGCGCGGAGATTCGGACCCGCGGGCCGGGGTAGGTCTGCATGAGTTCCTGGTTTAAGCGGTCTGTGAAGCCGTAGAGCAAGCTTGAGGCGCCCGTGACGACGACGTTGGCGAGGAGGTGGGGACGGATGTCGACGTCGACGCCGTTGAGGGCGTTCTTGATGAGCTCCGGGACGGTCTGGGCCTGCGTTGGGGCGGGGAATGCGGAGTCGGGGTCTGGGATCGCCGCTTTGGCGTCGAAGAGGGACTCCACGACGCGGTAGCGGTCGGCGCCGAAGACTTGGTTGTAGCCGTCTGGGAACTCGAAGGGCCGGCCGGGGGTGCCTCGGGCGACTTCTTCGTTGGAGACGCCGTTGGGGCCGAGGGCGGAGAGCTTGTTGGGGCCGGGCCACACCTGGACGACGCACTCCTTGAACTCGGAGAGTGTTCGCTCTTCGAGGAGGTTGCGGTAGGACGCGTCGGGCGCCTTTTCGGGGGGGAAGGTCTTGTATTTAGCCTGCGGGGGCTGGCCGGCGTCGACGGCGGTTTTCGAGGAGATCAGGTAGTGGGGGGTGATGGTGATAGGTTGCGGGGAGTTGGACTTGAAAAGGGCGCGGATTTGCGATGAGATGTAGTCTCCGCCCAGAGGGGAGTGTTGTACGCCGCGCTTCAAGATCATGCCATCGTGCACCGGGGTAACCGAGATATTGGAGGCGCCGACGTCAACGACGAGCGCAGAGGCCTTACCAGCAGCGAATCTGAAGCCGACCGTCAGCAAATCTTATCAACGTATTGAACACAATCAAGCTAGGCAACGTACGCTGCAAGAACACCATTCCTCGCAAGATAGAAAGCTGGCGTCCCCCACTTCTCCATCGCAATTTCGATGGTCTTTTCGCGAGCCTTCGCGGGATTCCAGCCAGGCTCAGACATCAGGAACGGACTATCCGCAAGAGGTCGGTCTTCGGAGCTCTCCACACCCTCCATCTCCGCCGCCATATCCCCCTCGGAGATATCATTGAGTCCGTTTTGCAGGGGGTTTCCGGGCTTCGCGCCCGTCAATCGCGAGGTGAACGAGTACTCCCACAATTTCTCCGCCATGTCCCAATCCTCCACGATACCATCTTTACCCATTGGGTTGTGAACCGACAAGCCGGGCCGAGGGGTGACGAAGACATCGTCGCCGAATATCAGCTTCTCGTGCCCGTCGAGAGAATATTTCCCGTAGGAGGTTGGGATCAAGGATTTGGGCGTATCTTCGCCGGCAAAGCCAGCGCGCGTTGTGGAGTATCCGGGATCGAGTACAATGGCGGAGACCTCATCTGTATATACCTAGATTAGAATACAAGAAGCGCTATCGAATTTAGGCAGAGCGCTTGCGCATCTGCGCAGTGTCCGAGGAACGCAATCAAGAAAGATGGTGGTCCAAATCGCAGCGCAGTTACTGGGGAGAGTTCACTAACCTCCGCCGTATTCGGCAGCAGACGGTGGAATGGAAGAGTTCATATTGCGATTGTCTTTTTCGCAAGGAGTACCGCGGGGATTGATCGCTCACGGTGAGCAGAGGGAGGAAAGGCCAAGAGGAGGTTGGTTCGTCCAATTCGACTCTGACAGGGATTCAAAGAAATGAGTAGAATCGACGTAACCCCAAGCTCAACGGGTGCTGTGGGAGCAGAAGGATAATGGTACTTGGCGGGGAAGGAAGGAGAGAGAGACGCAGGGATGGTGGAGAGGAACGATATCTTGGTTCGAACGTGATTTTGCGGGAGCGGCGCGACGTGACGGTGGCGGGAGTGGAAGCTTCATTGTTATTATTCAGCCGATCCCAAGCTCACTTTGCCTCATCGGACAGACGCCTTTTAAGCTTTCTTGTATTTTCTTTCCATCACTTGTAATTATTGGTTACTGTATTGGAGCACTCCAGCTTTTTACATCTGTTCGCTTGCACTACCGCTCATCCATTCCCAGCAGTCCCACACGCTATCGACAAACGATGGAAACGCAAGAGCCATTCTTCCGCCCAATCAAGAAGAGAAAGTTTCTACGACGTCGCCCCGAACAAACACAAGAGACCCGATCGCCCAGCGAAGATCGCGAGCATAGCACAAATACTCCGCCCGTTGAATCCGCCGGAGAAGCAGACGATGGCGTGCAGACCAGCGACGTCGTTCGCCTCCGGCGACAGCATCGGGCACGAAAGGGTGGCATCGAGTTCTCTACGACGTCGCGGAAAACAGCCAACAATGGCGGCCAGGGACAGATGACGACGGGAGAAGAGCTCGAAGACGAGCGCATACGCCACATGGGTGATCGATTTACGGCGCATACCGGGCAGACAGTGGATGTCGACAAGCACATGTACGTACGCACGCTTATGTCTACTCCCCAGCGCGGCTTGGCTTCTGTGATGGCGACTAACAAGATAAGGATGGCCTATATAGAATCCGAAATGGCTAAGAGATTCCAACACAATTTACCGGCCGATAAGCTTGACAGCGACACCCGAGCTCCAAACGACAGACACGCACCGGCGCCTTCGTTGAACCTTCCGCAACGGCAGCCCGCGTCTTTGGGCAAGTTACACGAGATCGATTTGGGCCAGGAGACGAAACTTCAGAATATTGCCCGGACAGAAGCGGCTACGAGGCATTTCGCGACGGACGAAGGTCAACCGCAGTATACAGAAGTGGCAGGTCCTTCCAGAGACGCTGCCGGGAAGAGCGAGCAACCATGGCGGAATCGGAAACGACGGACCAGCGAAGATATCGAGAGAGACCGGCTTGTGGAAGAGATTCTACGGGAGAGTAAACGTGAGTTCCATCTCAGCGCCTACTTCTTGTTATTGTTGCTAACGGCAATAGTGGACGTGTATGACGAGCCCGAAGAGGAAAAGGAAGAGGGCGAAGACCAAGCGGCCGACGATAAGGTGGCCGAGCAATTCCGGCGAGACTTCCTCGACGCGATCCAGTCCCGTCGGCGGGCGAAAAAGAAGAAACCGACGACGACGACGGCGGCGGCCAAACCGGAACCGCCCAAGGGACCGAAATTGGGTGGCAGCCGGAGTGCTCGCGCTGCGATGCGGGAGATGCAAGAGAAGACGGCGCGGAAATAGCCTGGGTGCTTGTCTGCAACAGTACTTAGGAGTACTCCGTACAGACCGGGTCTTCACTTTGCTGGCCAATGTGATGTTGCGGGGGTTTATCATGCAGTATCGTCCACAGTGGGAATGACTGATAAGTGTATGGGGTGTTCTGCGCACTCTCCGCTAGACTTTGATTGAGTTGTAACACGAGTACGGGAGGGGACATATTGATCTTGTGTCGTGCTATTAGGGGGATGTCAAATTGAGAAATAGAATGATTGGCAGGGAGTCACGTTGTCTCCTTGTCAGTTCAACAAGCATGAGCAGTCCTCTACAGGATAGGTGGTCAGGGGTTACCAATACTACATGACCTGATTATGATAGGTGTATACAATAGATGCAGATTCCAGCGCACAGGCATTCCGGAGTATCCAGTATCTACGGATATTTACAATAACGTGGTGAAAGCTGCAAGGTACGGATGAAAGGATCAATCTGGGGATGCAGTATATGGAATGTCAAATAGAAAAAAAACCCTATACTTGCACAGCTGATGAACTCATCATGCAGGTAGCACAGGGATATTTATTGATTCAAACCTGTCATACATGGGGGAAAAGGAGGAGGAATGTCGTTATATAGGTAGTGACATCTCCCACGGCATTTGGATCTATGATTCAGCTGCCGCAGTACTCCATCTGTACCGGAGTATATACGGAGTATAATTCAGGTGAGTACCGATTTTCTCTCTCTTTCTTTCCCATTTTTCCTCCCTCGTTTTCATTTAGATTAAACTTTTGAGATGATTTTTTCCCTATATAGAGCTATATAATTAGGCACGGGCAGAGAAATGGATCATTGGTTCATCAACCAGTAACACCGGCGCTAAATCGACTACCTACTGTAGGTCACTAATAGGTAGCGCCTGTCAAATCGACCATTTCACACTAGTTGAACGTTCTGAGCTGAATTGTCTTAGCGTGGTACAATAACCTGATAAGGTACATACCACGTTGGACAGGAGGAGGAGGAGGAGGAAGAGTCATCGACAGCAAATATTGATATTATTAACCAGGTTGATCTTCATGCAGTGGACTTGAGAGGGCTTGAGAGGAAGGAATTGAACCAGACATCCTCCTAGGTGAGCATCATCTACATGCTACACGCTGATCCACTTGGGTTCGACCCATCCATAGGGTTGGTTGGTAATTTTCTGGTGGATGGAGAGGGGAAAACAAACAAATAAAATGAAAATAGAAACAAATTCAATAGGTTGGAAATTGGATGGAGATTGCCAATGAAACATGGGCTGGTGGGGCATACGGAGATGGCTGGAGATGGAAGGTCTCCGTACAACAAACTCTACACAACCATAGTCAATACTCCGTGTTCACTTCAATAAGAAGATAGCATCCTAGAGAAAGGAAATCCTGACTGGATGGTACCTAGGTGTCGATACAGCATCTATACCGATCGAGACAGTATGATAGGTATCAGTACAGTTCATACGACCGATACAGAAGGTCTAGATGGTCCACTGCGCCACAGCTGGGATTGGGCCGTGTCCAGGCCGTGCCATTCGCCAATCAGGACCCAATTCGAGACATTCAGGGGAATTCTGTCACATCGACCATACACTAGGGACCTACCTAGTACCGGTACCTACCTGGTACCTCCACGTACCTACAGATTCCGGATTTTCAAACGGATCCTGCTATCAAACGAATCCACCGGGACTATCCATCCATGGATCCAGTGTCTCTCATGGTGGAGGATATCCTGCCGATTTCACTGGTTCATCGCTCTATCAATAGGATTCCAGAATGCCCATGTTGACATCCAGACGTCCAGACGTCCAGACTCTCTACTACTGACTCCATCAGTCCCTCTTTGTCTAGTCCACAACGCCACTTTGTTGCCTGAGCTGTCTTTCCTCTTTCTTTCTTTCTCTCTCTTTCTCTCTCCCAACCACTTCACTCACTTCTCTCACCTCTCCCTTCTCCTCTGTCGGTCTTTACTTTGCCTCTGTTGGTTTTTATCCTGCATCTGCACGCCTTCCCTACCCACTCTCTCTTCTCCTATCCGATCCTCTCGATCTCTAGTCGATCAGCTTCCCACGAAGCCAACACGTCCATTCTCTCCCCGCCTGACTTGCGCCCATTTGGGTCTGTACGCGCCGGTCATACACCCCATTCGTCTTCCTGCAAGTCTGCTGCCCATCCTTTCTCTTCATCACAGCCACTGTGACGAACGAGGAAGACGGATAACAGCGACTGGGTCTTTGCATTGGGCGAGAGAATGCTCGCGTTGCTGTCTGTCATTGGCCTCTATCCTCTCTCCTAGTCACATCTCTTCCAACCTGCCAACTTGACTCGTCTTTCCTTCTTTCTTCTGTACCATTCGCTTGATTATTCCTTTCATTGCACTCTCGGTTTTCCCTCTTGCAAACTTTTTACTGGCATTTTCCGTTCTATACAGGTTGATCCTGTTCCTTCCGATCCAGGCCGTTTGGTATTCGACCTGTCGGTTTTATCTCCACTACACTTTTCTAATCTCCTCGACGATTGAATCCTCGTCGAGACTCGCGAGCCAAACGGCAAACCAAAAACCTCACTTTTTTTCCCGCATTCTTGTCAATTGACATCGATATCCGCCCAGTCTAACCGCCGACATGCGGCTTGCCTATCTTTCCCAACTCGGCCTGATCGCCCTGGGCCTGCTGCCCACCACCTTGGCCGCCGATACCCTGAGTACCGATGGCGCCTCCACCTGCCTGACGGGCGCCCAGATCCAGGTCCAAAAGTTGCACATCACCTACTCCCGCTCCACCAGAGAAGTCGTCTTCGACGTGAGCGGCACCAATGCAAAGGAACAGAATGTCACCGCCGCCTTATCCGTCACCGCGTACGGCAAGGAAGTCTACAACAAGGAATTCGATCCCTGCAGCGCCGACAACCACATCGATCAACTTTGCCCAGGTACGTCCCAGAGCCCCTATAGTCACGCATTGAAAGAAGCGTATATATCCTAACCCCAGCACAGTTCCGTCGGGCACCTTTTCCGCCAGAGGGACCCAAGAGATTCCCGAGGACTTCGCCAAACAGATCCCGTCCATCGCGTTCGCCATCCCCGACCTGGACGGCCAAGCGAAACTCCAACTGAAATCCAAAGACGGTGGCAAGGAGATCGCCTGCATCACCTCCGAACTGACCAACGGTAAATCCATGAAGATCCCCGGCGTCTCCTACGCGGCCGCCGGCGTGGCCGGCGCGGCTCTGGCGTTGAGCGGGCTCTCCGCTCTGGGCACCGCCGGTCACCCGGGCGCGCACTCCACCAGTCCCGGCTTTGGCGAGGTCATGGGGTGGTTCCATACCATGGCCACCAACGGCATGCTCAGCGTCAGCTACCCCGCCGTCTACCGCAGTTTTTCCAAGAACTTCGCCTTCAGCACCGGCCTGATCCCGTGGGGCCAGATGCAACAGTCCATCGACAACTTTCGCCAGACCACCGGCGGCAACCTGACCGGCAACAGCTACGAGTTCCTCCGCGACGCCAAACTCGTCTACTCGAACTCATCCGACTCGGACTCGGGCACCAAGGCCAAGCGGGGGTGGACCCTGGTCGTCGGCGCCCTGGACTTGGCCACGCGCGAACTGTCCACCTCGGCGGATTCGGACCCGTCGGCCGGAGAGGGGGGCGGCGACGGCGACACGGGGGGTCTGAAACACTTCGTCTCGGGCATGGAGGCCTACGCGGAGCAGCTGACGATCCCCGAGGCCAACACCTTCATGACCGTCTTGGTGATCTTTGCCATTGTCATTGCCGTGATCACCGTGGGGATTCTACTCTTCAAGGTCATCCTGGAGGCGTGGGCGCTCTACGGCTCCTTCCCGCAGAAACTCACCGGGTTCCGCAAAGACTACTGGGGACTGTTGGGTCGTACCGTCACCAATCTGATTCTCGTCCTCTACGGGATCTGGGTCCTCTACTGTGTCTACCAGCTGAGTAGCGGGGACTCCTGGGCGGCCAAAGTGCTGGCCGCGGTCACCCTCGCCATCTTCACCGCCGTGCTGTGCTTCTTTGCCTGGAAGATCACCTACCTGGCCCGCAAGTACAAGAAGTCGGAAGGCGATGCGTCGAGCCTATACGAAGATCGGGAGACCTGGAAGAAGTACAGCCTCTTCTACGACAACTACAAGAAAGACTACTGGTGGCTGTTCGTCCCCGCCATCGTGTACATGTTTGCCAAGGGCTGCATTATCGCGGGGGGCAACGGCCACGGACTGGTTCAGTCGGTCGGGCAGCTGATCGTGGAGGCGCTCATGCTGACCCTCCTGCTGTGGCACCGGCCGTACGTCGCCAAGTCCACGCAGTGGATCAACATCAGCATCCAGGTCGTGCGTGTCTTGTCGGTCGTTTGTGTCTTGGTGTTTGTCGAGGAGCTGGGACTGTCCCAGACCACCAAAACCGTCACGGGGATCGTCTTGATCGCCGTCCAATCGGCGTTGACCGGTATTCTGGCCATCCTCATCGCCACCAACGCCATCATTCTCTGCTGCCGCGAGAACCCCCACGCGAGGCGCAGAAAGGAAGCCGGTAAGTGGAACCCTCCCTGGTGCCGTCACGCCGTCGATGCTAACGTACGAGGATTTACAGAGAAAAATGGTCGGGACATTGACGATCTGACCCCTCTCGACGCGCGGGAGTCGCTGCTGATGGAGAACCCACCCCGGAAGGAGTACGCCGAGATGAGCCATTTCAACTTTACGGGGCCGTACGCGCCCTACCGGGACCAGCACGATTCGAAGTCGGGGCATGATCGCACGCGGAGCACCGATCGACTGGTCGGACCGGACTACGCCATGGAGACCCGCCACGCTCGAAACATGAGTCGGGACAGTCGACAATCGCGGGAGAGCTCTCCCGATGGCCGCCCGGCCACGAAACCCGGCTACGGGTTTGCGTATTAGACCACCAGGTCGACGGACGGTCACGAGGAATGTAAAAATACCCTATTGGCATGTCTGCCCTGTTTCTTGATCTGTTTCTTTGATCTGTTGGAGGCGTCCAGACATTTGTCAAGCATTTTAAATAGCATTAGCATGTTTTCACTCTTTTTCTCCTTTTGACAGTAATGAGCGGTGTCTTCCTTTCTGACAGTATCCCGAGGGGCCGTGCCTTTCGTCCAGCATATATCTGCATTCATCCTTAGCTCTAGCCTTAGCGATATCATCTAATCCTCTATGGATAGAGTAGCCCATCTACAGCATTCGTTTTGCTTTAGGGTCATGATCCGTAATATGCATGTACCTAGGTAGGTTTCTACCAAGGCATGCAAAAACCACCATCTACCGAATTACAAGCACGCTGTCAGTCTCCCAGACCAACGGTAATAGAAGTTTAGCCAGTCAGTCAGTCATTCATTCATTATGTTTGCACAACCAATCTACCAGCGGATCGCGTGTACCTCCTACACTTATCATGGACATTCAAATACGAAGACCAAGTTACTTTATTCAATAAGTAGGTGAGGAACAATGGCATTCAATGAATGGATGGAAGATATAAGGAAGATAAAAGACTATACTAGAACTAAACAGAATCCCATCCATAATCAATCCTAAACACTATAACGATAAATACGATAATGAAGAGATGAGATGAGGAGATACAATAGAAAACAAGTTCCATTATCGAATACTATGTTATAATCTAGACAGACAGACAGGACGGATACGATATGATAATGCGACAAGGGAAAAAACGAAGGTTGGAAACCAGGGGCGCACCATGGACGTAGCATAGCATAGCACAGCATAGCGAACAACAAATTAAGAAAAAGAAGAAAACAACAAGAAGAATGGAATTGGAATTGGAGTTGGAATTGATAACACGGTTTTAGCAAGACGAAAGGGAAGGAGAGACATATTTTTTGGTTCTCCCCTGTAGACAATAGACAAGACAGACAAGACTAGACAATAACCCTAATGATCGGACGTATGTATGTATGCATGTTCAACCTCTAGCGTAAGGGTGGAAACCCCTGTGGCCTCCACGGCCACCGCCGCGGTAGTTCGCTCCCGGCTTGCCGGCGTTCTTGGGGCCCGTGGGGGCGTTTGCAGGGGCTGAGCTTTGGGGTTGGGGGGTTGGGCCTGATATCAATCAGTCAGATTAGGATTGGGGAACGAGGATATAAGAGAGAGGAGAGGAGACATACCACGACCAATACTGCCCGCACGGTTCATAGCCTGCGGCCCCGTAGGGATATTCGGCTGCGGAACCTCATCGTACATGCCCTCCCAAGAAGTCGGCCCGCCCTGCTGATAAGGCGAGAAGGCCCGATTCTCAATGACGCGGCGGGCCTGCTGCTGCTCGTACTTCTGCTGCTCGAAGGCGATCTGCTCGTGGGCGTTGTAGCCGGGTCCGGCGCCTCGCGCGGCAGAGAAGTTCCCGGGGCTGTTGGGATCGCCGCTGCCTCCTCCTCCCATGGGGCTGTTCATGCGGGGGTCCACGGCTTGGCCTTGGTTCTGCTGCATCTGTTGCATCTGTTGCATCTGCTGCATCATGGCTGGGTTCATCATGTTCTGCATTTGTGGGGTCGCGCTCTGCGAAGGGGGGCTCATGCTGCCTTGTGGCTGAGGCGGCTGTTGCTGTTGCGGCGGCGGCTGCTGCTGCTGCTGCTGCTGCTGCTGGGGATTGCCCATCTGCATCTGCTGCATCTGCTTCATTTGCAGCTGTTGCATCATGGCGGGGCTCATGCCGCCCATGCCGACCGCGCCGCCCATGCCTTGACCCCCGGCGTTGGCGGCTGCCATCTGCTGCTGCATCATGGCGAAGTATTGCTGCATGCGCTGCCAGTACTGTGCCATCATCTGGGGCGTCAAGCCGCCAGGCATGCCGCCCTGGCCCTGTGCGCCCTGCTGCTGCTGGGCGCCCTCGCCGGCCTGGCTTCCCTCGCGGAACCCGTCCCTGCCGCGGCGGTTTCGGCGGTCTTCTTCGTCGCGCAGGTTACCCCGCGGCTGGGCCTTCTTCACCTCGATCGGCTTGCCGAGGATCTCCAGCGGGCGCGAGAGGGCCGCTTCGACGGCTGCTTCGCTGTCGAATGTCACGAAGCCGAACCCGCGGGGCCGGCCGGTGTCCTTGTCGATCATCAGGGTGGCGTCGACCACGCGGCCGAATTTCATGAAGAATTGCTTGAAGTCTTGCTCGTTTGCTTCTTGGCTGACGCCGCCGACGAAGATCTTGCTCGTTTTCTCTTGCTCGTCGCGCGGGATGGCGCGTTTGGGGTCGATCTGGCGGGTGTGAGACTCGCGACATTGGTTATGTATATTGGGGAGGACTTACGATTTTGCCGTCCAGGTAGTGCTCCTTCACCATCACCGTGTTGACGGTCCGCGGGTCTCTGAAGGTCAAGAACCCAAAGCCTCGGGAGCGGCCTGTAGCGCTGTCGCGCATGACTGTGCATTCCTGGACTTCGCCAAACTGGGAGAAATAGTCCTTCAGTGATTCTGATCTATGCGTTAGCTATCTGATGGATGGACTGCAAGTTCAAGTTGACTTGAAACGTACGGTCTGTCGTTTCCCAGTTTAAACCACCAATGAACATTTTTCTGTTCCACCAATTTGTTAGTCAAGAGTACTGGGGAATTAATAAATCACATGGCATCGAATCAAGAGTCCAACAGAGGCGAGAAAGGAAAAAAAAGAAGAGAAAAAAAGCAAGAAAGTGAGAACGGGAAGTGATTGCTGAGACGACTGATGCAGATGGGCGGCTATGGCAGTTCAGACTGGGTCAAGATTTGAGGGTTTTGACGTCTGAGGATATTCAGGGCAAAGCTGAGAGCAATCCCATGTCGGCTTCCGGGCAGTTGGTGGCTCCTAAAGCGCCGCTTCACAGACTTGACGGTTGCATCAGGCAGTTGCTGTTATGTATACACTGACGAAGAGCGCGCCCACTAGAATCACAACCATGCTCTAGGCAGATTCCCACTGGTTTACAGGGCGACTCAGTGGACTCGAGGCCAACTCAGGTACTCCCGGCGAAAGGTATGTGCGTCGCGACCAAACAAGTCACGCAAGTTGATGAAACAAAGTCAGGGCGGAATAAGTCAATTGCTTTTCTGTTCTGTCTCTGACCAAGGGCTCCTGTGCCTTTCTAATAGAGTCCGAAGCTAGGTAAACTGTTCGACAAGAGTGCGCACCACACAGTCAAGGACTATATTCCTTGCTCTGCTCTGCTCTATCAAGAAGTATCGACAAGGAAGCTATATAGTAACTGCTGTACTATAGTTGCTCGCGACCAGGGTTTCGTGGAGTCAGGAACTTGACTGCTCTCGCTTCGCAACTGCCTTATCGATTCCGGATCGCTGACGCATCATCTCACTTGAGCCGGGGCCTTGGGAAGCTGTATAATTCCGCCGATATGATCTTTCTTGTGCTTGTTTCCTTTTATGTTCTTTCTTTCTTTTCTTTTCTTATAGCTGAACCATTGTAGAGTGTATGAGATCTTTATCCACAGCTGATGGCAACCTCGTTTCCTCGAGCCATCGTGAATGATTTGTGTGGCGGCGGAAGCATCCACCTAGAAAAAACCATCCTATAATGTTTTCCACAATGCCACTCATCCCATCAATCATATCGAGCCTTCCCAGGTGTGATACAGTCCACTATCAAGTGGCACGAGTCCGAGGCTGTGAAGGACAGGGAAATGGTCTCTCGAGAAGGATGTAGACGGCACAAGGTATCCCACCCCAATCTTGATTCCCCATATCTCTTTTGCTCTGCGAATGCCTGCGAAGGGCGCTCATGGGAGCACTACCCAACGAAATGGATGTGGTTTTGGATGGAACATAGGAGGGGGTTGTCTCTTCTCTCCGAGAAATGCAGTACAAAACAGGTTGAACAATGACTTACCCGTCTTCTTTGATACCAGTGCCTTGAGGCTCTGGCCCGCCATGGAAATGCGATCCATTCCCGGTGTGCCCGGAATCCACGTTGGCGAAGCCGTTCTGGTTATGTCCTTCACTGTGAAACGGTTGATAGGCACTTTGAGTTTGATCAAACTCGTCATGACCACCCTCGATCGTCTGTGCTACGGGGATACCAGTTGGTTGGGCTGAAGGCGCTGAGTGCGAAGTATCGATGACCTCCGGGGCCGGGGCAGCCGGTGGCGGCCGGTTTGTCGACTCATCGGCGTCGTACCTACAGATAAATAGGTTAGATTGACCACGATTCAATATCGAGTGACAGTTTGAAAAGGGAGTCTAACAAGTCTGCGAAAAGATCTTCTTCAACGTCGTCTGGTTCAGCCATGGTGACGGCGACGAAAGGATGGATAGGATGGGGTCAAGACGTTTGATCAAAGTCCGTAGAGAAGCAAAGATAAAAGAAGACTTGAGAAGGGAACAATGAGAATGGGAAAGAAAGGATGAGGAAAGGTAGTGAATGAAAAGGGGGAGAGAAGGAAAGAAAGGTGATGGATGGATGAGGATTGAGGGAAGAATGAAGAGGCGAGAGTGACGAAGAAGGTTTGACTGTTGGGACCAGAGATGAGGAGAGTGTATGGTATGGTATGATACGATACAGTAATAGACTGAAGTACCTTCATATCCGCTGTGAAGGGAGTTATGCAGTTACCGTAAATACACATATCCACTGAACACATGGCAGAACTGATACAGTACGGTAATTTATATCCCAGGTGGCCGACTCAATCACCGCAATAACACTGCAATAACACAACACTCTCTCCTCTCTAAAGACCATTAGGACCAGTTCCTGTGGTTGAGTTCCCAATTATTCAAATAATCACTGCATTGAATGTTCCAGTACCAATTCAAAAGGTTCTCCCATATTGAAACAGTCAAGAGGGGAGAAAACACAGCCCGCTGAGCGCCCCGCACTCCTTGCCCCGAGGGCGCTCGCTGTCTCCGATGACCTGATCGCTCCCCCGTCGCCGCAGTATCAACTCCAACCCTGATTTCGGCTTCACCATGGCTACGAGAAAGGGCCACCAACAGGTAAGTGCGCTGCTAGGAAAGGCTCGGATTATTTTTATAATTTTACCAAAGAAACTGACACTATCCCCCGAATTGTTACAGGAAATGGTCCAGGTTGGTTCGTACATCGCAATCCCCGTTTCTGTCGCCCTGAAGACCCCCGTAGCTGACAGATAGCTATTTGCCAAATGAAAGACCGTTCCGAGTACGTCTGGCACACTCCCATATACACCTCCCGCTCCTTTGCATTCGTTGTCTTCTTTGGAGACCCTCGTCTTGATTCGTTCCCGAAACTCATTCTCCGTTGCCGTGGCTGATCGATCAATGCAGACGGGCAGGTTCACCGTTCTGGAAAGGCAGATCAGTCTCCCAGAATCAGGGTATGCCCAACTCGCATGAGCAAAGCCCCGTGGTCGGCGCATCTTATTCGCATGCAGATATCTTAAAGTAGGTTTTCGTTCCTTTCGTCCCCTTCGTCCCCATAGCCTCCCCGGGTTGTCCATGGCGGGCTAACGAATCAGTGCGCCGAGCAGAGGTATAGCACAGCAGCATGCTCCCCCACGGACGCCACCCCGCTCGTCATCTCATCACCCGCAGCCGGTCTCGTCCCCGTCCTCTCATCGACCGGCGATCTGGGTCGCCTCCCCTCGCACTTCATACACTGATATTATGGACCAAGGAATGGACTCGTGGGACCGCCCCAAGACAAGGGATGACGCTGACGTGGACGACGAGGAAGAGGAAGAGGATATCGTGTATGATGATGACGAAGATGAATTCGGCCTGCCAACTATTGCCAGCATGCGGCGAAAGCAGGCTCAAAGCGTTGCTACGAAACAGCCCAAGACCGTCGGTCCGGGCGGGGGAGGCCTCGGGAAGCTTGATACCACCAGTCTTGGGGTGAACTCGGGGAGCAATAGGCAGCGTGCCGACAGTTCGGATATTGCTGAGGAACGTGGCCTTCCTATGTACCCAACTGCTCGGAAGGGCGAGGGGAAAATCCTCCGCCCGCAGTACAAGGACATCTTGAGAGGTACCCCTCCCCGTTCACGGACACCGCGCAGGAAAAAGCTGATCTCTCCCAAGACCCTGCAAATGCGTTACATCTCATCAACCACGGCCCACCCCCCAAGAACGCGCCCCCCAAGGAGATGGATCAGTATTCGAGTCGCATATCAAGGATCAACAAGTTCAAACGTCTCCTACAAACAAGCACGGTTCCGTTGGCCGAGCTGCGGAATCTGGCGTGGTCCGGGGTCCCGGACGAGGTACGAGCCATGACCTGGCAGCTTCTCCTGGGCTATTTGCCTGCGAATAGTGAGCGACGGATCTCGACACTCGAAAGGAAACGCAAGGAATATCTGGACGGGGTCCGCCAGGCCTTTGAACGAAACAGTGCCCCAAATGCTCCCACCCCACCCGCCCCGTCCACAGGGCGTGGTAGAGGCCTCGACGAGGCAATATGGCATCAGATCAGCATAGATGTCCCTCGAACGAGCCCTCATATCCAGCTCTACGGTTACGAGGCAACGCAGCGCTCCTTGGAGAGGATCCTCTATGTATGGGCCATCCGACATCCCGCCAGTGGCTACGTGCAAGGGATCAACGATCTTGTAACGCCCTTTTGGCAAGTCTTCCTCGGCGTCTACGTCACCGACCTGAACGTTGAGGCGGACATGGACCCAGGGCAACTCCCGAGAAGCGTCTTGGATGCCGTCGAGGCGGACTCGTTCTGGTGCCTGACCAAGCTCTTGGATGGAATCCAGGACAACTATATATACGCCCAACCAGGGATCCACCGGCAGGTCGGGGCCCTGCGCGACCTGACCATGCGCATTGATTCTACACTTGCGAAGCATCTAGAGAACGAGGGGGTTGAATTCATGCAATTTAGTTTCCGATGGATGAATTGTTTGCTCATGCGGGAAATGAGCGTGCAGAACACGATCCGGATGTGGGATACATATATGGTCCGTTCCATTCATTTCAGGCTCCTAACAGAAATGTACTAACTAGTCCCCAGGCCGAGGAGCAGGGATTCTCGCGATTTCATCTATATGTGTGCGCCGCATTCCTCGTCAAGTGGTCGGAACAGTTGGTGAAGATGGATTTTCAGGTGAGCATCGAGGAGAGAGTTTCCGCGGGGGGTGGGATATCATGCTAAATCAATTGCAGGAAATCATGATGTTTTTGCAGGCACTCCCGACCAAGGATTGGACCGAGAAGGATATTGAACTCCTATTAAGCGAAGCTTTCATTTGGCAGAGTCTCTTTCAAGACTCCCGCGCTCATTTGCGCCCGGCCGGAGACCGGTCTCCCGAGAATGGCTTTCAGTGAAGATAATCGTTAATTCATGACTTTCAAAGATTTGACAATATGGGGAGGCCAAGCAATTCCAATCTTTCTCTCAGGATCCCGCCTCAACTAAAATGGAACCCCTTTTGGTTGCAGGCCCACAGCAACTTTAGAAAATCATTCTCATCGCACATTCGTGCACGCTTTTCACCAAGCTTTGTCTCCTCCTCCAATACCTGGCGGATCTTCTCCCGTACGAGCTCTGCCACCTTGCCCTTCTTCTTGCGGGCCGGCCGACTCCTGAGAGCTTCCTGGATGCGGGCGTTGGCTTGTTCCTTGAAGAAATCGGGCACGTCGTCGTCGTCATCCACCTCCATGGCTTCTTCCTCAGGCTCATCCGCATCATCATTGTGCAGGTCGTCTTCCTCCATTGCATCCGGTCCCGCATTCTCCGCCGGCCCATCCTCGACAGGAATATCGTTCTGTGCACACCACGTCCGGTAGTTGGCTTCCAGCATGTCCATGACGGAGGTCGTTCCGAGGAAACTGGACCGGATGGTCTTGTTCTTTCTGACGAAAACGATCCGCAACAGTCCATCCCACTCGTTGTAATCGATCTGCGGTCTCGGATTCTTGGGGACCAGGCGGACAACACTGGATTCAACCTGCGGCGGGGGCTTGAAGTTGTTCTTTCCGACCTTCATGATATGATCAATCTTAGCCCACATCTGGGCATTGACCGACAGTCGACTGTAGAGCTTGTCGCCTGGTTTGGCAAACAGTCGCAGGGCGAATTCACGCTGAAACATGAGAATGCAGACCCTGGGCGCGGGCAAAGTGGCGAGGAGTTTGAACGTAAGGGGAGACGAAATCTGAACAACTAAATTAGGCATGAGGACACACGAGGACTAGACCTGTAGAGCTCACTTGGTACGGGGTGTTGCTGATGCAGACATCGAAGAACGGAAGCTCCGTTTTCATCACATCTCCCAGAATCACTTCTAAGCGCTTCTGCGACGGCGTTCCTTGCACACGTTTCGTGACCTCGGCCGCCATTCGAGGGTCCAATTCCACCGCGATCACCTTCTTCGCCTTTTCGAGGATCTTGACAGTAAGATTACCCGTACCGGGACCGATTTCCAAAACGACCTAGAGGGACGCGAACAGTCGGTGTTAGCAGCGGCAAACGAAATAAAATAATAAGGGTGCGCTCCCGTGGCGTACTCCAGAGGCGCACTCCTCAATGCCAACCTACATCGCTTTGCTTCAAATCCGCTTTTTTGACGATGGCCTCCGCAATGCCTTGAAGTGCGATCAGTTAGAGCCGATATGCCATATACAGCGCTGCGATTCGTCGCATGCTCTTACCTGGATTTCTTGACAAACGTAGTTAGCTAGAGCACATATGTATATCAGAGTCGGTGAAGTATCATTACTTTAGGACGTGCTGGCCGACGTCCGTGTTCATTTTGAATACAGCATTGGCAGCTCGGGCTTTTGCTGTAGCGTCCCCGTAAGGGCTCTGCGCAGAGCCGCCACGCTTCTTCTGCGTCACCTTCGGCATGGTGCTGAGAACTGGGTTTGCCGGCGATTAGGGAATTGAAAAGATAAACTGAAATATAAGTGTCTCCACGGAGTCTACCAGTTATAGACTTATTCCGCGTCTTCGAATTCGAGTCGGAGGTGAAGCTTTTCTAGAGGGGAAAAAAAAAAAAATAATGCGGAGGGGATCACGGGCGATAAGATTAGCGGGACGGAGTTAGGTTTTTGCGACCACCGCAATGCTTGTTGGAGATGAGAAAGACCCCAGTGCTTCCCCGAGCAGCAATCACCATCGCCGTTTCTGTCGCAAAGGTTGTCTGGATTCTCACTGTCTTTATTAACAGCCGGCCAAGATGGCGTCCGGACGACAAGATTTCCTCAGCCAGCCCGCCCCCGAGAATTATGTGGCGGGTCTGGGTAGAGGTGCTACCGGCTTCACTACACGGTCAGATCTGGGACCGGCGCGGGAGGGACCGACGCCAGAACAGATCCAGGCTGCACTTGCGAAACGAGCGCAGTTACTGGGCGCGGCGCCTCCGACAGCCTATGGCGCCGGGCGCGAAAAGGGCGGGAAGGAGGAGAAGCCCGAAGAAAACGACGACGACGACGAGCGGTTCCAGGACCCCGATAACGAGGTTGGACTCTTTGCCTACGGGCAGTTCGACCAGGAGGACGATGAAGCGGACCGGATCTATAGAGAGGTCGACGATAAGATGGATAGGCGACGGAGGATAAGAAGGTTAGTTTTGTTCCTTGCCTGTTGTTCCCTTTCACAAACCATTTGTTCATCGGGATCACACCCCCGGTATTTTGGACAGAAGACCGACTTGATTCCTTCGCCACATACAGGGAAGCTCGAGAGCGCCAAGAGCAAGAAGAACACGAACGACAGAACCCGAAGATCCAGCAGCAGTTCGCCGATTTAAAACGATCGTTAGCCTCCGTTTCCGAAGACGACTGGGCCAATCTCCCCGAGGTCGGAGATCTGACGGGGAAGAACCGACGAGCGAAGCAGAACCTCCGGCAACGATTCTACGCGGTGCCGGATAGTGTTATTGCCGGGGCGAGAGACTCGGCGCAGTTCAATACCACCGTGGAAGATGAAGAAGCTCGCGGCGAGGATGGGACGATGACCAATTTTGCCGACATCAGCGCGGCTCGCGACAAGGTGCTCAAGGTCAGGCTCGACCAAGCGGCGATGGGGTCTTCTGGGGACTCCGCCTCTGGAAGTGCGACCAACATCGATCCGAAGGGTTACCTTACCAGTCTTACGCAGTCGGAAATGAAAGCCGGAGAAGTGGAGATTGGCGACATCAAGCGTGTCCGGGTTCTACTGGAGTCGGTGACGAGGACCAACCCGAAGCACGCGCCTGGTTGGATCGCCTTGTCACGTTTGGAAGAGCTCGCGGGCAGGATCGTGGCTGCCAGGACGGTTATCGCCAAGGGCTGTGAGTTGTGCCCGAAGAGCGAAGACGCATGGCTTGAGAACATTCGCCTCAACGAAGGACATAACGCCAAGGTTATCGCTGCCAATGCAATCAAGAACAATGACCACTCAACTCGGCTGTGGATCGAGGCCATGCGTTTGGAGTCAGATGTTCGTGCGAAGAAGAACGTTCTCCGACAGGCCATCCTCCACATCCCTCAATCCGTGGCAATCTGGAAGGAAGCCGTTAACCTGGAGGATGACCCCGAAAGTGCTCGTCTTCTTCTGGCCAAGGCCGTCGAGATGATCCCCCTATCCGTTGAATTGTGGCTTGCGCTTGCCCGCCTGGAGAGTCCTGAAAAGGCTCAAAAGGTGCTGAACACCGCGCGTAAGGCCGTCCCCACCAGCCACGAAGTCTGGATTGCCGCCGCACGCCTTCAAGAACAAATGGGTACTTTTGAGAAGGTGAACGTGATGAAGAGGGCCGTCCAATCCCTTGCAAGGGAAAACGCCATGCTCAAGCGGGAGGAGTGGATCTCCGAAGCCGAGCGGTGCGAAGAAGAGGGCGCAATTCTCACCTGCGGTGCAATCATCCGCGAGACGCTCGGCTGGGGTCTGGACGAGGACGACGACCGAAAAGACATCTGGATGGACGATGCGAAGGCGAGTATCGCGAGAGGCAAGTACGAAACCGCAAGGGCTATCTACGCCTATGCGCTCCGCGTGTTTGTCAACCGCCGATCTATCTGGCTTGCCGCCGCCGACCTGGAACGCAACCACGGCAGCAAGGAAGCGCTGTGGCAAGTCCTGGAGAAGGCCGTGGAAGCCTGCCCGCAAAGCGAGGAGCTGTGGCTGCTACTCGCGAAAGAGAAGTGGCAGTCCGGCGAAATCGACGATGCCCGTCGAGTCCTGGGCCGGGCGTTCAACCAGAACCCCAACAACGAAGACATCTGGCTGGCTGCCGTCAAACTGGAAGCAGATGCGGAGCAAACGGAGCAGGCCAGAGAGCTGCTTTCCACCGCTCGTCGCGAAGCGGGTACTGATCGTGTATGGATCAAGAGTGCCGCCTTCGAGCGGCAGCTGGGCAACATCGACGAGGCGCTTGATTTAGTGAACCAAGGGCTCCAGCTCTACCCCAAGGCCGACAAGCTCTGGATGATGAAAGGCCAGATCTACGAAGCGCAGAACAAGTACCCGCAAGCGCGAGAGGCGTACGGCACCGGGACCCGAGCCTGTCCCAAGTCCGTCCCTCTGTGGCTGCTCGCCTCGAGACTCGAAGAGAAAGCCGGCGCGGTGGTCAAGGCCCGTTCGGTACTCGATCGGGCGCGTCTAGCCGTCCCCAAGAACGCCGAGCTGTGGACAGAGAGCGTAAGAGTCGAACGACGCGCGAACAACATCGCCCAAGCCAAGGTCCTGATGGCCAAGGCGCTACAGGAAGTCCCTGCATCAGGATCAGGATTACTATGGAGCGAAAGCATCTGGCACCTTGAGCCACGCGCACAGCGGAAAGCTCGCAGCTTGGAAGCGATCAAGAAGGCCGATAACGACCCGAACTTGTTCATCACCGTGGCGCGGATCTTCTGGGGCGAACGACGTCTGGAGAAAGCCATGACGTGGTTCGAGAAGGCGATTGTTTCCAACAGCGATCTTGGAGATGGATGGGCTTGGTATTATAAATTTTTGCTACAGCACGGAACCGAGGTTAGTCCCCTTTTGTCTCCTCCTCCTCCTCCTCCTCCTCCTCCCTCTTTCTATATATGCCCTTCACAACCGCACATTTATCGTGACTAACACCAACCAGGAAAAACGCGCAGACGTAGTATCCAAATGCATCTCGACGGAACCGAAACACGGCGAGATCTGGCAATCCATCGCCAAGGAGCCAGCCAACGCACGGAAGTCGACCGAGGAGATTCTCAAGATGGTAGCAGACCAACTGAACTGATTTACTTTCACGGTACTACTTGTATTTTAGCTTGGATTTCACGCGTATCTATCTGTGTCTTGAACTTGTACGGGTTTAATTAACCAACTAGGCGTTGCGGAGCTGATGGGAGATGGAGATATTAGAGAAAACAACAAGGATTCATCAATCAATCAATCAATGTCAATAACTTGAATGGATAGTTTTGTTCACTGTTGGGTTTATAGAGTATGTCGATTCAAAATAATTCTTCTTGACGAATAGAGTTTTCAGTGATCAATCACATCAGTAATCAGTTAACCATCCACAATTGATCCTTCCACTCAAAACGTGTCTACCAGTTTCACCCCATACAAGCACAAGGGTGATGTATATATGTATATATATAAATTGATCCAATCCAAAGACCGTAAAATAAAGACAAAGATGAGAAAGGAAGTATCACACTTTCAATAATAAGTTAACACCCTGCCATATGCAATATACAAGCCAAGCCAAGCCCAGTCAAGTCAATATGCCATCTTCAATGACGGCAATCCAACCAACCCAATTCTGTCTGTCCGCTATTACTCCCGAGACGCCTTTTTGCAGGAAAAAATGAAAGGAGGGAAGAAAGAAACCCAAGCCATAGATGGCTATATCCCCGCGCACACCAGACTGGAAATGCTGGCAGTCTTTCGTTTGGTCCCTGAACAGGATAGATGTAAGGTAAAGGAAAAAGGGAGGGAGGGAGGGAGAGAGGGAGGGAGAGAGGGAGGAAGAGGCGCACAAAATAAAAACAAACCGAGGGGAATAATGGTGTTGAAGAGAGAAACAAAAAAGAAAGAAAGAGAGAGAAAGAAAAAGGAGGAAGAAAGGTCACGAAGCAATAGAAAGGCACTCGTCAAGTAACGACCCTAACTGATCGCGATCAGCCATCGTGCCCCCCTCCCAGTCCTCTTCCGAATCATCCACGTCCATCTCATCCGAATGGTGGTTGTTCGGTCTCGAATCGGCGCGGTTGTTGTTGTTGATATCCACCGTGGGCTCATCCCCCCGGTCCTGTCGATCCGTCTCCAGTTCGTCCTCGAGGTATCCGCCCATGATCTGGTCCACGATCAGGGGCATATGGCTGAGGACACCGCTTCCAATCTCCAGCGCCAGTCGGAGATCGCGAACCCCCAGGGGTTTTCGGACGCTGGCCTCCTTGGCTTCTACGGGAAGCAAGCCGGTAGCGCCGTCTTTGACGATCTCCCCGCGCGTAAACGATAGCTCTTCTTGCTCGAGTTGTTGTCGGTATTTCCGCATCATCATGCCGTTGATGGTGCCCGAGGGGCCGTTGGACCTTGTTCGAGAGAAGACAACCGATAGCACTTCCTTCACGAAGGTCTCCGTGGCAATCGCCATGACTTCGGCGCAGGGAAAGCCGGCCCCGCTTACTACCGACTCCTCGTAGCAGATGGGTGTCATGCGCGCGTAGATGGATTCGGCGTCTGGAAACTCGCCGGTTTCCGAAGCCAAGGGTTGCGCATAGCGTTTTCGAATCTCCAATTCCCAGTCTGCCAGCAACGGCGATCAGTGATGTGCGTTGATGGGTCGGGTCGGTGGGAAACCTACTCGTCTTGTTCAGGCCGCCTGCACTCGCTGGGACTTGGCTCGGCAGCTTGATCTGCTTCGCCCGTTGGTATTCCTCCAGTTCATTCAAGGCCGTGTCGCTCGGGTCGCGCTAATTGAAACCACACCGTCAGCATCTCAACATTTCTCCTCTCCCATCCGGTGCACCATACCTCAGGAATTGATTTAATCCGTCGACGGTCCCGCGGAGGCAGCTGCATCACCTCCGTCTTCAGCCTCTGCTCCGCGGCATCTCCCGACGTCGGCTTGGACACGACCGACGGTTTATCGTTGGCGGACACCCAGCTGGCGACTCCATGATCCGGAAGGTCTCTCGTAAGGTTACCGATGATCGCGCAGATGAAGTTATTATGAAGGTGTTCGGTCTTCTGGTCGGCGCAAATGATATGGTCGACGCGCGAGGCCAGCTCGTTTTGATTTAATTGCCCTATCAGGAGTGAAACCATCAGCTTTTATTTTTGCCGGAACAATAGCAAATAAAAATAGAGCATCAAGATACAGTCGCGAACATAGCAGTAAAACTATACAGACAAGACGTACCGAGGAGAAAGAGGGTGGTGGCTTCCTTGTACTCGGCCCAGCTGTCGCCGATTGCGGCCTTGAGCTCCGTGTAAATGGGTTCGAGGTCCAGTCGCGGGACGGAGATGAGAGCCTTGGTAGACTTCTGGGTCGCGGAGGCATTGGGGGCCGTCGGTTTGGAGGAAGCGATCGTGGCGGACCCGGAGTCATTCCGACTCAGGGCAGCCGGATCAATCTGCATGGTTGCGAGAGGTCACAGCAGGAGCGCGACAAGGCTGCGCAAAGCCGAGGAGGGAGAGAGGAGGGGGGAGGGCGGGAGGGGGATGGGGGAAACGAGGGGGATTCAGACCCTCATGGACAAAGAATGATGGATGAAAGAGGGACTGGAAACAAAGAAGAATGGACCGAAGGGGGTCAGGATGAGGTTCCTGATGGGAAAGGAGGGGAGAATTGATGGGGAAGGATGGGCGGAGGAGGTGAGGTTGTGAAGTGCGGGAAAGAGAGAGAGGAAGTCGGAGGAGCGTGAGATGATCCAACTGCCCCATGAAACCCTTCTCTGTTGATATTGTTGACAACCACCGGCGAAATTATATAAAGGAATGATCTATAGGACGTACGAGATACTGCGGATGTCTTATTTTATTTGTATTTATTTATCTCATTTTATAATTGGTACTATCTCTCTTATACTAGTAATACAACTGCACCACGTCCTCATTCAGCACTCCAAACAGTCGACCAATTTCGCCCATAATTTCCTCAATCTCTATCGACAGTTGGCCAGTAACAAGAACTATGCAGAGTTAGTGTGTGGGACTTCGTCTCGACTTTGGATCTAAAATTATAGAAACAAAGAAAAACGAAAGAAAGAGGGAAGACGTACTATACGCATACAGCAAGGCGTAGTCCTCATCCGTAGACAGACGAGACGCTGTCCGATCCTTGCGATAACGAAACAACCGTGCCAGAAGACGATCCCTGGCATGCTCCACACTGGGGAGAACGTCGCTCAGAGGGTATTCAAGCTTCATCGACGAAGCCATGACTGTAATAAAATAAGTCAGTCAGCTAGAAGGGATGTAGAGAGAAAAAAGGCCACTCACCAGACAACAAGTGACTAATGCGCGACGACAACTGCCGTCGTTCCTTCACCGTGTACTGAAGAATAGCAAGCTCCCCTTCCGACGCCGTAATATTCTTAACCAGCTCGAGGTTAATAGCGAGAAACAAGTCGACCATGCTCCTCGTACGACGGAGGATATTACCATACGCATCATCAGGGAACGCACTGCGCAGCTCGAACTCCGACGACGCAGACGCCTGAAGAGCCTCCAGCCGCGACAGAAACCGCTCGATCTCCAGCTTCTCGCGGGCGTTCATGAAGCCCGCCGGCTCAGACGTGTCTTCCATCGTCGAGAGCGGGCCGCGTTTCCAGATCAGACTCATGCGCAACCACAGCAGGCTCAGCCCATCCTTGAGCCTATCTCGCGCGCTGATGGGCCAGATCACCCGCGTGATGATAATGCCCCAGATGCAGCCGGAGAGAACGGCGGCCACGCGATGGAGAGCGATCTCGGTGATGACCGGGGATTCGCCGCCCTCGTCCTGGTCGTTGTTGCCGTTCTTCTGGGTAAGCAAGTAGGCATACAAGACGGACAGATTGTAAGTGAGCATGATGAATCGGCCCATCGGGCCTTGTCCCTTTATGAGGATGAGGTATGACGTCCAAGTAGCCATGAGCAGACCCAAGAAGGCGAGTCCAAAGACGTTGCCGTCCGTCACGAGCCATGCCAGGATGGCGCAGAGCGCCCCCAGGCAGGTACCGAGGAAACGGGAGTACCCCGTCGTATTCGATGCTCCGATTGTCATCGAACAGACCAGCATGTAGGACAATAGGCCCCACTCGCCTCGCCAGTGTGAATAAAACGGCCGGGTAGAGTTGATAAACGAAGGGACCGCAAAAAGGGCGGCTCCCGTGCCGACTTTGATCGCAAATTTCGTGTCGTCACGCCGGAAGAACTCAAGAGACTTCCAGATGCGATAGCCGATTCTTCCTTTGCCGGACTTCCCGGCAGATGCAGCAAGATCGGAAAGTCTGTTCTGCGTCTCTCGGGGGCTGAGGACGTCTAATCGGGGACGAGAGCCGCCTCTGGCAATGTCAGCTTCAACGGCTGGCTGTTCTAGGAGCAGTTAGCATCACAAGCCTCTCGATCAGAGAAATACTAAAAGGTTTCAACCTACCCGCATCCATAGTGTCACTCCTGGGTTCACTCTCTCCCCGACGCCAGAATTTCAGCCAGTTCCAAGACCGCCCGTTAGGCCTCTCCTCTCCCTCAAGTTGTAATTCGTCTAGGATAGCCAGCAACTCCTTCAGCTGCTTTCCAAACTCCAGCAGAGAGAAACTGAAGTGCCCGCAACTGGCGGAGACCTCCTCGAGATCAGCTTCTACCTCGAGTGTCTTGATCTTCAAAACATCCTTCTGCCGATAGATAGTCTCCAGTGCCTCTTCTCGGGCATTCTGGTAGAGTTCAAGCGCGCGGTCCAGACTAGTGCGAAATCGAGTATTAATAGAGACGCCGCGGTCAGGTGCATGTTGAAACGGGATTTCCCTGAAGATCTCTTTCAAGGTAAAAGCCAGTGAGCGCTGATTACAGTTAATATCTATCACTAGAGACCAATGTTCTCATTTCTTGTGGGTAAGGGGTGATCTATGCTTACCATAGAAGGCCCCAAATGGTCAATGAACAGGGCAAATATATCAGCCGGAAGAAGGCCCTGGTCGGTCTCCGGCTCGACATAACTATGCATCGTAGTGAAACCGGGACTGCCTCTGCTGGAGCCCGACCTCCCCTCGACCTCCTCCTCTTCAGGCCTTTCATCAATCGGCTCCAGCAGCGGCCGGTCATCATCTAATGAAAACGGACTCGGCAGCACACTCACGCTATTCCCATCCACCGGGATCAGTTGACCGCTTGTCCGAGACGCCTCGGTAAGCTTCGTCTGATTCAGCAGTTGAAACTGCAAGAGGGCAGCACTGCGCAGGCCACCCATGTTGTGCGTGATATCCTGAACCCAGCGGACAAGTTTCTTCTCCAACCGATACTCCCTCTCCGTGCCAGCGACATAGTGTTCCAATTTAGCTTCCTTGATGAGCTTGTCCAGCTGATTATACGCTTTCTTATGGCGCGCGGCGAGGCTGGTGAACTCTTCCGTCTGAAGCTCCTCCTCGGAGCCGCTGAGGAAGCTCTGCGTGATCAGCGCGAGCATAGTCGCCAGCGTTTCGGTAGTAGTAGTGAGATTCGAGCGCAGCTGTTTGCGCGCCGAAATAGGGAAGATCAGAAACGACACGGCCATGGTGGCGGTGACGCCCATGCTGACCATCTTCAGGACTTGTAATATCTTTGCCAGGGACAGGTCCCCGCTCTGCACGGCGCCTTCCTTGGTCAGCACCGTGATGGTCGACAGCGACGCGAGCGAGCACGCGACGTTGACGAGCGGGTCTCCCAGTCTCTGCTTCGTCCATCCGATAAACCCCAGGCCGCCGCCGCAGAACACAATCAAAACAACAGCATGGCCGACCGGAAGCAGATTCAGCGTATCCTGAAAGAACATAGAGACACACATACTCGTAAGGGAAACAAACGCCGCGTAGAGAAAGGCCAGAAAGGCACAAATCAAAGCCTTATACATACTGCCCTGCGACCTCGCGGGGTGGAAATACACCGTAACGGTCGCGACAACATGTTTCCCATCCTGGTTTCCCAGTGCCGCTGACAGCAGCGGCACAAAGGTCGCCAGGGACCCGAGGAGATAGGCCAGACTGCATTTCAGCACCCCGATGCCCTGCTCCGACGCGACGAAATCCCGCACCGAGTAACCCCAGTATAGAATCTTCCCCCGTATACGCGACTTCCACCTTTCGTGGCGGCCCCGGACCACCCCCGATAGTAACCCACGGCGCTCTTCATTGCTGCCGCTCTGGCTTGAGGCAGCGGTCGAGCTGCGTAGGTTTATGAGGCCTTTTAGGCGCTGTCCGGTTCTGGGTAAGACGAAGGTCGCTTGGCGCAACTGCGACAACCGTCAGTATATTACTCTAATATAGATGAGATCCATCATCTATCTCCATCCTCTTTTGTGAAAGAGTCGAAGGATTTGGCTTCAAAAGAGGTCACGAGAATGAGGGGGAGCGCGCCCCCATCCATCGGGGAACGCAAGCTCCCAAACAGCTCAGCTCAGCGATTGCCAACAACATACCTTCTTCGGGCGCACATAGCGACGGGAACTGCTCGACGAGTCCCCAGACGCAGACATCACTGCTTTCTCATCTCCTAAATCAAGCGAGATCTCCCAAACGAGTTGCAAAAGTCATGGTGGAGGAAATCAGAATCTGCGGTGACATAGTAGGTAGCAGGAAACCAGCTAGACTTTCTTTGTCGATCACTTGTGGAGTTGAGTTGGAGTTGTGGAGTGGGGAAGACTGGGAGGGTGAGGAACTTGGCTGTTATTGCCACGACATTCTCCGCACGCACCGGTTGACAGGGGTTGCATATGCTATAAGTGTCACTAGTTAGTGGATAGAAACCTGTATGTGGTTTATTGGTCTGACGAGTCGTATTGTCTATAAGAAAGAGAGAAGATACTCGAAACTAACAGGCTAAGTATATAGCAATCATTTCAACCCTTCCACCTTCCACACCTTGACCGCCGCATCCGCACCAGCAGAAGCGATCTTCGACCCTCCCTGAATCCACGCCACGCCGTTGACGCCCTCCTTGTGGGCGTTGGATACCTGCAGCCAGTCACCCGGGCTAGCCAGGCTCCACACAAAAATGTTCGTGTCGAGGGCACCGCTCACAACGTGAGTGCCATCGTCGTTCCACGCGATGGAGGTAATCCGGGAGGTGTGCGCCGTCCAGCGGTCCGTGACCAGACTGCCATCGGCCACCTTGTACACGAGGACGCGTCCGCGGGAGTCGCCCACTGCCAGCAGGGAGCCATCGGGCGAGAACGCCAACGCCGAGATGGGGTTGCGCGAACACTTGATGTCGGTCTTGGGGGTCAGGCTGGAAGCCGAGATGCTGCAGATCTGGACCGTCGCGTCCTCGCCTCCCACGGCGGCGGTGTCTCCATGCGCCGCGACGGTCGTGACCGTGGTCTGCGGTTTGTATTCGCCCGTCTTCTGCCCGTCCTGGTAGATCTCGACGTTCTCGGCGGAGCCGACTACCACCGTCGTGTTGCCGGCGGCGATGCCCTTGGGTTGCCCCGACAGCTTGGAAGCGCTGCCGGTGTATGTCTTGGCCCCGACGTCCACCGACCGGAGGGTGTCGTCCCAGGCGACACTGTAGATTCGGCCAGTCCCCTCCGGGGTAGGGGTCAGGCCGGCAATGTACGACGGATGGCTATCGCCGTCGACCTCGTCGGCCGACCCCTTGGACACGTCCCAGCTGCAGACGCGGCCGTCAAAGCTGCCAGTCCACAGGGTTTCGTCGCCGCCGTCGGGCTTGGACCGGGTCATCGAGGTGATGTTCTTCTGATGGCCCTGCACGACCTGTCGCGGCTCGGGCGTCCCCTCCACCAGGTAGTTCAGGTCGCCGCTCAGCGACAGACTAATCAGCAGGTTGTCGCTGCGGCCGGGCGGCCACACCACGCCGACCTGCTGGTCGCGCACATTCGTGCTGCCTTCTCCGCCGATATGCCAGGTCTGCGAGGCCTTGCCGGCCTCCACGTCCCAGATCTTGACAGTCCGGTCCGCACTGGCAGTGACGAACTTGCGCGAGTCGCGACACCACGACACGCCCAGAATACTGCCCTTGTGCTCATTCTCCCCAATCTGGCCCTTCGTCTCGCCCGTCTTGCCATCATAAAGCCAGATCTTCCGGTCCGCACCAACACTAACAAGCGTCGACCCATCAGGGCCAAACCCAACCCCATAGATATAGTTGGTATGCTTATCACGAATACCCGAGTTAAACTTAAACGGTGCGCCATGGTAGAACACAAGATTCTTATCATCCCCAGCAGCCGCAGCGCGCAGCGGGCGCTGCTGACGGATCGAGACGGAGTTAATCTGCTGGGTATGGCCGTAGATCTCGCCGACGGTGTTGCCGCTATCCCACGAGATACAGTGACCGTAGCGCTGCTTGCCGTCGCCGACAGCGATGATGCGCTGGGAGTCGCCGTCCCATGCGAGGTCGTTGATGCGGCCGTTGACGATGCTGTATTCACCCTTGGTGATGCCGTCGCCGACGCAGTCCCACACGCGGACTATCCCCGTGGCGTCGGCGCTGGCGACATAGAAGCCTGAGGGGGCGAAGCGGGCGACGGTTGTGGGGGCTTTGTGTTCGGTGTATTGGCGGGCGACGGCGGGGTCGTCGATCGAGCGGAGGAAGATGGATTTGTTGGCCTGGGGTATTCTTGTGTGTTAGCGAGCTTTTTCAATGGTTGGTGTCTCTGTTGAATTGAGAAACATACCGCGTAGGCGAGACGTTCGCCTTTAGAATCGGAGGAGAGCTGGGTGGGCTGGCCGCGGGTGGTGGAGGGGCTGGCAGCCCAGATGGACTCTGGAAAGCGTTAACGGACATCTAGTGGGGAGAGAAGGAGAGTGAAGGCTAACCGTTTGTGATCGACATGACGGTACCAGCCGGGAAGTTGACACGAATTAAAGAGGAGGGAGGTTGAAGACAGATCGGACAGACAGGGAAGAGTGTTGATTATCCAGGCGGACAATTGAGGGGGAAGGTTGACGTACCTTTTATTAAGAGTGGTGGGGACGGGGGAAGACCCGGCGATCAGTGCCTGTCTAGTGTTTCAACAATACTTGACTTGGCCGACTACATGACCTTTACTGCCTAGTTTGTAGTTATTTAGGAGTAGTGGGTAGTTCGTCAGGATAGATAATATACAGTCAACATTTCCGCGGTATATCTTAACACTATGGTCGAAATCGCAATAAACAAAAAAGTACACGGTCCGACATCATTCTCCGGAAAGAAACAAAGCTCAAGGCGAGACAAGAAGAAATCTCGCTGAATTCCGGCCCCTTTTATGATAGATATTGACAACTACTTAAAACCCACCGCCGGCTTCCAGGCGGCTCCGGAGTTCCATGGCCAGAATCTCCGGGTGTCGGTGAACGCTAGGCATGAGTCCCAGACCGACTGCCCGTCGGATGGCCTTGGACAGCCTGCGCTGGTTGACCGGACGCAGTCCAGTGGTGTTGCTGTGCTTGATGCGGCCCATGTTGGTCACGTATTCGGACATGATGGCGAAATTCTGGAGGCGGATTAGCGACTATCATCGACCACGGTATTTCGAGTAAAAAGTAAAGAACGAAGAGAAAACAAAGAAGGACAAGACAAGGCTGAAGAAGCACACAGCAATCCATACCTTGTAAAGATCCAAAGGATTGATATCCAGCGCATCAAACGCATCCTTAGACGGAAACTTGCGCTCTCTCCACTTCCTCATCTCAGTCGTACTAAGGTCTCGGGGCGCATAGACATCGCCGGTTTTCCACTCGCGCGTCTGGTATTTCTCCAACGCCCGACTCTCTCCCTGCGCCTTCTGGTCCATGATGAATTTCTCGCGGTTGGGCATTCGTTTGCGGTAGGTTCGGGGCTCTCGGTAGGTCCGCGGCTCTAATCGATCCACTGGTCAGTATAATCCAAGAAATTATGAGAAGCCGCAAATGTTATTCAATGTCCACATACTCTGACTCTGGTATACATTGCCAGCTTGCTCGGGCGCAGCTCCGTTGAACGCCGCGGTGGAGTTGTACCGACAGGCGGAGGCTGAGACGGATCTCATGGCCGCTCCGACGGCTTGTAAGGGCGACCACGACGAGAGGTGGAGGGCCATTGTGAAAGGAGTACTTTCCGAGTACCAGGAATTTCTTCTTGGCGACAAAGAAAGAAAGGAAAGGGTGAGGGTGGAGGAAGTGGGTTGGTTGTATCGGTAGGTTAAAGGCGAAAGCAGGACGGAGTTGAGGCGGATTTCTTTTCGTGCCGATTCGGCGCCAAGACCGCATCTCCGCCTTCACTGTCTGGCTCTCCATCTACTCCCTCCTTTGTACATGGACAGTATCAAGTATCCTAATGCATGGCTTGTTCAATACTGAATATCTGAATCAATGATTGCATCTCCAATCCCTCAATCGACCACAATGACCTTCGACCCGGCATCCTCCAGTATTCTCAACAAACCCATCCAAATCCACAATCAACTAAGCAATCCACACCCAGCCAACCCAAGCCCAACTCCAAAATTCTGGAAATGTCCTGGAGTCACAGCAATGACACCATTCCCAGCAGAGCACTGCAAGTCGCGTTGACCATTGCACCGACGGGTAGTGACCCTGAGCCCGGCGCTGTAGTATTCCTTTGCCGTGTTAGAACCAAGCAGTCCCTTCCTCAAGAAAGCAGAACTTACAACTCCATAGTGCTTGAAATGCCATGGAATAGTGATATACATATTCTATTCTCATCAGCAGACCGTTCTACCCAGTGGTGGGCACAGGTACAAAGGCAAGGAATAAGAAGAAAAAAACATACCGGCACCCCATCATTGATATTATTCCCCCTGAACAGCGTCCCATGCTGCGCGTCCCCGAAATCCGCAAACTCCTGGTTTCCAATGGGAAACGCAGCGAGCGCATTACTGTGGATATCTTTCTCCGGAAAGTTCTGCGCCAGGGCGATATACGACATGTAGGTCAGCGCCCCGCCGAGCGAGTGGCCCGTCGACTCGAGGGTGTAGTCCGGGTGCTGCGCGATCAGGGCCCTGACTTCGGCGATGATCTCGTCGTGCACGGCGGACCAGGGTCTGTAGACGCCGGCCATGATTTTGACGCCGGATGGGAAGGAGATTCCTGAGAGGCGGGGGGTGAGTGGTGTGGTGTCGATGTCGTTGAGGATGTCGACGACTACCATTATTCAACCACTGTCAGTCATTCCAACCCGGATATCACAATGGAGGTATAGAAGTAAATGGGCCTCACTCGTAGTCGACCCCTTCATAACAACCGCAATCGTCTTCCGCTCCGTCGAGTATCCCACATAGCCCTATATTATCATTAGCCCAATGTCACTCACTCTTCCATGGTGGTCGGCAAGTAGAAGGTGGATATACCTGAGTACCAGTCAAAAGATGATCAATCTTCTTCGTGATCTTGACATCAAACGCCTTCCCAATACATCCAGAGTACGCAGCCGACGAGAGCTGGGCCGCGCGGTGGAGGTCATCAAACGCAGCGGGTTCTATACAGTCAGTCAGCGATACCATTTTGGGTATATAATTCTGTCAGCTCCATCCAAGTACGACAAAGGTAAACAAACCAAGATCAGCCCTCTCCTCCAGCGCAGCGGGCGCGCCAAACACAGTCGACACCCACAGCGAGCAACCAAGCAGCACAGCAGTCAAACGCATCTTGAACAGCTAGGTTGATATCCAGACGTCTTCACTGGCGGTTATAGAAGAGTAGCTAGCCGAAGTGCAGGTGCAGATGGATCTGTCTATCTGGACGTTCTTCATATATCTATATCCATATCTCCATATCTCTACCTATATATACACTCCATCCCCATCCCCATCCCCATCCCCACCCACAGCATCTATCCCACATCCATCTCTCACCATCCTCGGCTCAAACCGTCATTCAACAGCAACAAAATGGCTCTTCCAACGCCAAGTTCCTCATCCAGACCCGCCCCGGTGACATCCAGCGTGGTATCTAGCTTTCTAACCAAGACATGGCTTGCAGTGTGATTCCGAAATGGCCATGGTATTCGAGGGATAATTAGATCAGGGAGAGGAAAGAAAGGCAAGCCACATCCCCCGCACGGCAATATAGTGAGATAGGTGGGTTGTAGGTGACTATGTGTTATTCATCCCCGGATTAGACCTACCCCACGGGGTAATATATTCAAATTGAATAAAGTAAGGAAGTATTGGCGGAAGATTGATTGATGACAAGAAGAAACTGAAGCCGAAGTTGACGTGCCAAGTCTTCATGGCTGTATACAGACAACCTCGGCTTAACATCAATATACCTGGTCATTCAGCCGTCAAGGATAATTTAGGCAGGTTGATTGGATGGATGGATCAATTCATTCATCTATCTGCCGATGCCGGTCTCATTTCGGTAGATCTACATGATTACTTGGTTTTATACTGCAGCCGAGGGTGGCTGATCAATCCACCACATAATTTCCAAGCAAGACTTCCTTGACATCGTCTCCGTCCGAATTTACAACCCAACATGATATAGTTAGCAGTATGATATAGGTAAGACAGAAAATGTATATTAGATGAATCATTATGCGACACTTTTATTGTATCCTATGCAATGGACATCAATCATCATCAATATCCGTAAAACACCGGTCAGCCGACCATATGTGCAGTGATGTATAAAGAAACCCAGGAAATGCAAGATCTGGAACAGGCCAAAAAGAAAACTAGCAGAAACATGGAGGATGAGGTATCATAAACCGAGGCAGTCTATCCCACTATGCCTGGGCCTGGGCAAGTCGCTTGGTCATGCTGTGATACCGGTTAGAAGGCTGCACTTGAGGTGACTGGTAGTGTAAACTTACAAATCAAAGAAGGAGAATTGGCTGGGGCTGCTGCCGTATTCATACACGAAGCGGCTGGCAAGGTAGCTGCCGAAGATGGCACGCAGGTAGTTCTCCGGAACCTAATGCACGTTAGTATTGGATTCGCACAGAAACCAGTATAGTATAGACTCACCCGTTCCAAAATAACATCGAGGCCGATCTTGTCCAAGAGCAGCTTGGGAAGGGCGCTGCCGAGCGTCGAGCGGCGCAGCTCCACATTGTCCCACAGCTCCGTGTTCTGCAGCTCCTCGTCCAGCTTGGTGATGGCCACGCTGAGCTTGTCGCTCAGCACGCTGCGCATCAGACCGGTCTCCTGCTGTTCCCGCCAGATGGCTTCGAACTCCAGCGTGGCATTCTGCTTGATGGTCTCCTGCACTTGCTGGACGTACTGGCGGTAGAAGGTCGGCACAGTGCCATCGTCGCGGACACACATGTTCTCGACGAACTCCTCGTCGTCAAAGGACAGAGACGCCAGGACCTCCAGAGAAGACGACGTCACACCGCCCTTGTTGGCCGAGGCGTCCTTGAACAGAACACAGCCGGCCTGCTCGAGCCGGAGCTTGGCGTCCTGCGTGATGAACAGGTTGGCGCCTTCGACCATGTGCGGGATGACGCACTTGCCGTCCTTGATCAGTCGGTTCACGGTCGACAGATCGATGGACTCCGGACGGCCACCGCAGGGCACAAACACGTCGTACGGCTGGTCGCTGCGCAGGTGGAACGTGTTGCGGAAGATCATGCCGTTGTGGACCAGCTCGCCGCTGGGCAGCTTGATGTTGCTCTCGTCCACCAGCACCCGATAGCCCTCGGGGGACAGCTTCGACACGTCGTATTCGGAGATGGTGACGCGCTTCTTGGCGAGGCGCACCAGCTCCGGGTGATCGAGTCCCTGCGGGTCGACCAGGACGCCGGACCCATCGACGATGGCGGTGTATTTCTCGTTGGACAGCAGGATCTCGTTCGACCCC